GACAGGCTCTGAAATAGCTTTTACTACTCAGAAAAGCAATGGTGGAACTAGAATAGTTTTATGCTAACGTTGGTTTCAAATTTTAGGAGTAGAAAAGAATTAAAGAGCAAAGAAACAACATTATGTCTTTAAGTAAAACAAATACCTGTTTCTTGAGTACTCTGTGCAGTTCTAGTCCCTTGCTGTCCAAGACCCTCCAGTTCAAGGGCTGTAATAGAACTAGAAGAGGTGCAGAGGAAGGCAGACAGGATGATTACTGGTGTGGAGTGGCTTCAACACTGTAATGTTCAAATAATTTCTCTGGAAAGCAGAGAAATTAGTAGCTTATGACAGAGATAAATGCAGTCATGAGTGCACAAGAGTGAATATTAGCAGAGGTATTTTTTTCAGGCAACACCTAAAAAAAATATGTTTTCACACAATTCTAATTATTTATATGGTAGTTGGACAAATTCATAGGAGAAATCCAAGAAATACAAAGATGACCTTGGGGCAGGAAGTCCTGCAGTCCCAAGTGGCCAGGAGATTTAGTGGGGAAGTGCTGTTTTTTACTTGCCCTCTTGCCAGTCCTTTCTGGTGCTAACTGCTAGCAGAGTCAGAGAAGGGCTACATAGATTTGTTTCCTCTTAACTTGTTTTCTTTACTTTCCAATACAGTTGTAAGGTGGATTGATGTCCTGGACTAGACAAACTTAACCATTTACTATAATTCTTGGCACTGAATGGCAACTGGCCTATTCTTACTGCATTTCTCTTTGCTAAGGCCCACTGGCGTGCTCTCAGTTTAGAGTTAATTACCAAAGAGCACCTCCATTCCCAGCTGGGACTTCTGGCTGTCCTACCTGACCTCTAGCAAACACACTGGATTGCTCCACACAGCTCTGCTGACTCCCTGCCATGTCAGCACAGCTGGTCTCCAGCAGAAGCCATGTGCTGTGGTGCTGCCAAGGGTAACGCACCGTCATTAGGGATGACGGCAAACACACCAGGAACAGCCCTCTGCTGTTTGCCTGGGAGTTTTGGTGAGGGCAGGTTGGGTTGGAATGAGCTTCTCTAAGACTCACCTGTCCGCTAGATCTTTGTTGACAACTTTGTCCATGCTGACCTGCACCCCGGGAACATCCTGGTTCAAGGCACGGCCCGTGTGAGCACCAGCTGCAAGGAGCAGACGGCCCTGGTGGACCTGTGTGACACGCTCGTGGTGGAAGTGCAGCCGCCGCTCCGGCAGCTCTGCCTGGTGCTGCTGGATGCAGGGATCGTGGCGGAGCTGCAGAGCGCTGACATGCAGAACTTCCGGGCGGTTTTCACCGCTGTGGTCCAAGGACAGGTGAGGTCTCTGTCGTGGGGCGGGGAAAGGCTGGAGAGTCCGACAACCCAAGTGAGGGTTTTCTCTCTATTTTCCCTTAAAATACTCCCTAAGAGGGGCAAGGAGACTTGCTAGCACGGAAGCTATGCCAAACTGTAGGGGGCTAAGACCCCTACAGCTAAGTAGGGGCTAAGTAGGGGCTGTAGCGGCGACGTTCCGCTACAGCAAGGACGCTGCCAGAGTGGAACAATTTCAGTGGCCCAGGAAACAGAAGGTGCTAAGTGGGAAGTATGGCTGCCACTCCCTGGTTAGGAGTGCTTCTGCTGCAAGTTAGGACTGCCTGGGAGCCACTTGCATTGGAGACTGTTGCAGAATCTTGTCAGCTTTTGCTAGAGAAGAGGAGGGAATGGATTAATGCCTTGATCTTCCACATGTTCCCTTCTGCAGCCTTGCTGCTGGAAAGCCCACGTGCCTTCTTCCATTTTGCTGTAGTGTGTCAGCATCTGTAGTGAAGAGCATGTAAAACAGGTAGAGGGTCTGACACAGAGGGCAGGCTCCTGTGTATAAGGAGAACTACTTTATCCTCCTTCTCACTTGAAATACATTTTCAGATGTGCTAGAGAATCTAGTGCTAATGTCTCCTATTCATTCTGAGAACAAGCATCTGTGCTCATACTTGCCTGTTGCTGTTTCACAGCTGCAGGTTGAACGGCTCACCAGCATCTCTCAAGAGGGACACATTTTGTCTTGGTCTGTTTAATCTGCCGAAGCAAGCCAAGGAATCCATGCTAAACCATGTGTTCAGGCTCATCCTGTGCTGCCAGATGTAGTTCTCAGCTACTAAGCAAGAACTGCAAACAGTTAGTTGCAAGTCACCAGCGATCAAGTCCTGATTCTCCTCTCCAACTTGTTCCTCAGGGGGAGAGAGTGGCAGAGCTGATCCTCCACCACGCCCGCGCCAACCAGTGCCAGGACATCGAGCGGTTCAAGGCTGAGATGGCAGAACTAGTGACCAAAGTCCGGGGGAACACCATTGCCCTGGGGAAGGCAAGTGCACCATGTCTCATTCTCGCTTACCTGCAATTCAGTGCAGCTTGGCACTGAAAACTGAAACAAAAGGGCTTTTTTGATCAGTTGTTTGCTTCTTTTTGTATTCCAGCTGCAGGTGGGAAATCTCCTCTCAAATGTCTTCAAACTATTGATGACCCATAAGGTGAGGTCCTGTCACTGTCTGCCTTCAGTAACTGGAAGTTTATTTGGGGAGGGAGAACTACCAGGAACATGAAGGGCTAACAAGGAGGGGGACTGACTTCCAAAATGAACTGCTAGGAGAGGAACTGCAGGAATGTAACCAAGTGTTGCAGGCTTGCTGTTTCTCAGCATGTTTCCAGGTATGTCTTTTTTGTTGGGTTTTCTTGGTCTAAATACTGCATTTAATGGCTGATGTTCTCTACTAAGAGGAATACTTTTGTAACACATAGTTTTTCCTATCTCTTTTTGTAGTCTCTTAGAAGCAGAAAATGAAATCTCATACATATTCCACTTCTATAGCATTGCATGCTTTCTTCTCTGGACCTCTTTCTTGATATGGGGTTATATAACAGCACCAAGCCATTTTACTGGTTTGTTAGAGGGCTCAAAAGTGAGAAGTTTCTCACAGGACAGAGATAACAGATAACTACTTGTAACTGATTATTTGGGGAATGAGTTTCTGCAGCTGCAAACAACTTTGGAAATCAACAGAGCTGTAGTGGCCTGAACTAGAGGAGACGAAAAGGTTGTCAGCCACTTTGCTCACTGTGCAAAGGGTCCCTCTAAACATTCCTTTCTTAGAGTTTTTTGTCATTAAGCCTCGTTAAGTAGGTTTCTAGTGAAATGAAATGTAATTTAGGCCCTTACAAAGCAAGTCTTCCCAGCTTCATCAATTCTTAGTGCCCTGGTATGCCTTGAAACAATTCTGGTACCTGGCTGGGAAATGGGGAGTATTTTCTTCACATACAATCATTTCCTCTGACCTGTGGGGTCTTTTATGGCCATTCAGATGAGCTGCCTCTTACACAAGTGCATATGTTCAAGTATGTTGGATACTACTGCAGCCATGGTGAGCACTTCTAAGATCCTGCTGTTCTTGTATAGAAGAAAAAAAAAATCCATTCCCCTTTTTGTACGAAAAACAAACTCTTGGATTGCCTTAGTGCACTCACCCTAAAACTGTCCCCTTATGTTTGGGCCTGCTGCTGGATTTCAGTGAATTCTGAAACTCCAGCTGGTGGAGTTGCATTAGTTTCAGGTGTGCATGTGCTCTCAGCAGCCTCTTCCCTTCCCTCTCAGCTTAGCCAGAGCTGGGACCTTGGTTGAATGGGTACAGAAGAAAATAAGGTCCACTGAGCCCATTTAGTCTCTTGTGGTTCTAGGTGAAGCTCGAGAGCAATTTTGCTTCCATCATCTTTGCCATCATGGTTCTGGAGGGACTAGGTCGTTCACTGGACCCTGAACTGGACATCCTAGAGGCAGCTAAACCACTGCTCATCAAAACTGCTGCTTCTGTCCTCAAATAGACTCCTGTGGCTGCTGCCCTCTCCCTGTGTGGGGTTACCTGTGCTGTCTGTGAGCCAACAGGAGGGAAGCTGAAGGTGAAGTCACGTGTGCCCTGGGGACATGCCGTGCAATGGTTACTCTCCATTAACGTTGCCTTCAGTCGTTTCAGCCGAGCACCAGGCGTGGGATGATCAGAAGGTCTATTCCAGAAACCAGAAGACTTTGCACAATTGGACATTTCTGACTCATTGCACAATTTTAAGAGCTAATGTGCTCTGGTAGTTTTAAAACTGACATATGTAGCTTAGGTGCACAAGATGACTGCAGCCTGATGAGAAAAGCAGTCTTTCTTGTCTAAAAGTCTTCAAAGAGATGTTCATTGATCAAGTCTGTTTTGAAATCTATCAGGTTTAATATTTAATTTACTGACTTACCTGTCACTGTGGTATAAGAAATGATGTTCTAACATCACCTAAGCAACACAGGCTGAAAAAGCCAATAAACCTCTTTGTCTTTTGTACTTTTAACTTCTGCTTTTATTGTAGAAGTGTCCCAAGATCCTGCATGTAGCGGTCTGTTCTTAGTCATTTTGGATGATAAAAACAGACCAGTCAGTTTGATTTTTTTTTTGTTTTCAAACTTCTGTACTCCAGCACATTATTATGGGAGTTTGATTATAAACAGCATAATAAAATATTTGCCTAGGCAGAAAAACCTAATTCCATAATAAAAAACAACTTCTGGGAATATTTGTGCTGCTCTTAATTTTTCTGGTTTTGAGGCTTAAAAGTCTTTTTTTTCCCTCTGTGTGCTTCCTTCTAGTACCCTCCCCCATGCTAGTGTCACCCTATTTAACTCAAAGACTTAACTGATATGCAGATTCTTGGGGTTTGCTTCCAGTAGCTGCAAAACAAAAAGTCCAAGAATTTTCCTAATGAATCAAAAACATGTTGTGAATGTTTAAAATTAAATAAAGCCAGCAAAAGAGCTAGATTATATGTGGCATTTACAGTCAGTTATTTTAATAGTAGTATTAAAATTATTTTATGGCTGCATTTTAATAGTGAGAAATACAGTCTATGAATGATTGGAAATACTGTGATATTAAATATATTCCCAGATATACCATATGTGAAATAGCAGTAGTGCAGGCTCTCTGCAGTGGTCTGTTCTCAGATAGTTAAGCAATGAAGAGAAAGTACATAAGCAGACAATCTGCTGTTTTATGGTGATTATAAAGTAAAGGTTAATGGCACATAAATGAAGTCTGAAAAATAAGTTTAGGTTCAGCTCAATATATTTCACGTACTTTCCTTTAATCACTGCATATTCTATTTCCAAGTGCTTAAGGATAGAAACAGCAGTAGAGTTTAGTATCTTTTAAGCTTTAGACTTGTTTCTCTAAGTCTAGTTAGACCTAAAGTCATAAGTAGGCACACCATTGTCCTGACTAGCACATGATTTTATGTAGAAGAGAACTCAAACAAGAAGAAAAGCAAGCAACGCCAAAGCAATACACTAAAGAAAATCTCCATGCACTGCCAGCACCCACTTTCCATCAGTGGGGCATGTGCCCTCTTCCCTTTCCACTTGGCTCGGGATAGAGGTGCCAGGCACAGCCTGGGCCTCGTCCATAAGTTATGCAGGTCTTGGGCACAACCACCCCTGTTCCTGCTGAGCAACTTCCAGCCAACTTTTCCAGAGCCTAAACAGAGTGTAAACCAAATGACGGAATTCCATGTCTGAAATGCAAAACTGTGCATCACATGCAGTTTCCATAACATGCAGTTATATTTTTTCCAGACCTTAAGTTAAACAAACAAAATGTCAAAGCCCTCACCTGGTATTTAGGATCATTCTTCCTTTCCCCTTTTTTTAAAAAATACCCAAAAATCTGAGGATGGCATATTATGGATCCTAAAGTTTAAAAATACCCCTTTCAGCTATTAAGGCTTCCGAATAGTTTGTAAACATCTGGATGAGAGACTTAACTTTGTCTTTTTAAGGGAAAGCTGAAGGCATAGCCTCTCCATTATCCATAGAGGAATGCAGTCTGAGACTTACTTCTAAGAAACTGCTGGCAGGATTTCAAAGGAGCTCCCTTTTACAAGTTTTCTTAATTTTACTTTTTTTTTTTTTTCTTAAGGAACTGCAATTATCACTTGTGCTGTATTCTTGCAAAAGACATACATTTTTATAGTCACACTTTTTGTTGAGCAGCGTGCCACAAAACGTGCAACATGTTTCTAAGTGTACACAGAATGTCAGGCAACAACATTTAAATTTTGTATCTAGTTTGGTTCCAGGCATTACTCGAAACAAGGTATCACATATATTGTATTTATTTTAGCATAATTCTGTGTAAGATAAGAACATACTTCCACATAGCCCTGAGTGTTCCAGCAAATAAACTGTGCCACGTCCATTCTCCTTCCCTAAATACCCATCTGAAAAGAACAGGTACATTTCTGGTTACCCAGAGCTGATAATAGCATTCCCTGTGACACAGCCACTGTATTTTGTTAACCATCAATTTACCAGTTCATTTGTCTTTGTAACATTCTCTTCATTTATTCACAAAGAGCAAAAGGTGTGGTTGTCATAAGCAAGGGCCCTACCTGAAAAGGTATCCGAGCATCTTTCTGACCCGCTTTGGAGACTGCCAGCCTGCCAGTGAGACTGTAGGCCAAACAGAAACCCAAGCCCACCGTTGGGTTTGGTGACTCTCCAAAGACAGTTATTTCACAGATCAGACCTTTTTGTCATCACAGTGCCTAGAAAGGGGAGCTTGTCATTAAAAAAACCAAACAAAAACCAACCAAACAAAACCCCCCACACCACTTTCTATTTTGGGCTTCTAAAAGTCATTCCTCCTCTAAAGGAGTGGCCAACACATCTCAAGCAGTACCTACACCCTGACAGTAGAAGATCTGTACTTACCTGAGGCCCAGGCTGGTGAACCAGAATAGTAACTCCAGAAAGAAAGGCATGTAAAGCACAGAGCAGTGGACATGCACTCTGGCTGCAATGAAAGAGAGATTAAAGACCTCTCCGGGAATTGTAATTCCACTTGTCACAACTGTAGCACACTGAGTCACACCTACAAGACAAAGACCAGGTGTGTGAACTGCTCGAGGGCCTCTCCCCTACTCGGCAGCTTCCTTACACTAGCAGGGATGCCCGAAGCAGCAAAAGGGACTGTTCTCCGAGGTACTGCTGGAGGTCACGGGTTTTTTGGTCTTCTTTTTCCATCTTCCGATCTTCGGTCTCTGCTCTGGAACACTCTCACTTTGGCAGCCTGGTGCTGTTTTTGTTGCTTGTCCTGCTCCCGTGGTTCTTGTTCCAACATTTCCTGCTGTGACTGCAGAAACTCCTCAGAAACTCCTACATAAAGATATTTACAATTGTACAGTCAGCTTTCACGCCAAATTTCATCCTCAGTTTTCATCTGTGTCCAGCTCTGAGCCCCCCAACATAAGAAGGACAGGGACCTCCTGGAGCAAAATCCAGAGGAGGGTGACAAAGATGCCCAGAGAGCAGGAGCACCTCTGCTATGGAGACAGGCTGAGAGAATTGGGGTTTTTCAGCCTGGAGAAGAGAAGGCCCTGGGGAGATCTTAGAGCACCTTCCAGTGCTTGAAGGGACTACAAGAGAGCTGGAGAGGGACTTTTTACAAGGGCTTGTAGTAATAGGACAAGGGGGAGTGGCTTTAAACTGAGAGTAAGTTTAGATTAGATATGAGGAAGAAATTCTTTACTGTGAGGGTGGTGAGGCACTGGAACAGGTTGCCCAGAAAAGTTGTGGATGCCCCATCCCTGAAAGTGTTCAAGGCCAGGTTGGAGAGGGTTCTGAGCAGCCTGGTCTAGTGGAAGATGTCCCTGCCCATGGTAAGGGGGTTGGACCTAGATGACTTTTAAGGTCCCTAATCATACTATGGCTCTGTGATTCTATGGTAGAAGTCAGAAATGGGTATAATATATAGATATTCATTCCTTGCATGCAGAAAGACTCCTTTTATGGCAGAGATGGAGAATGTTACTTCCCATCTTTCATCTTTATACACATGTCAAAAAAATGTTACCCTTTTTTAAATCCCTAAATATAGTTTTATTGGATATAAAACAGGAGAAAGACAAATACTCCAGATAGTGCCGCTGCTGGAAACACAGCAAAAGGAAAAATAATTCCTGGAATTGCCCTTACCAGCTTTTCTTTCAAAGCTCCTTTCATTGCATTCTGCCTGCAACTCCTCTCTCTGTGAACGCTGTGTCTTTAAGAACTGAAGCCTCTGACTTGCCTTCCTCTTCCCCTCCTCTTGAAAGGAGGATTCCTTCCTGCTCCTCTCAGCCCCAGCAGCCTGGAGCAGTGCCATGTGCTGCAAAGCTCTCTCTTTGTGCTCCAGCTGTTTCTCCAGCCCTTGCAATGTTCTCTGACGCAACTGTTGCCTGTTTCCAAAACAAAATTTCTCGAATTTCTCATAAAGAAAGAGCAATAAAAAAGACAGTACATGAGACATAAAGCAGATATTCTGGCAATGTGTGCTTAGTTAATATTCCAGGACCCTTTGTTAGGTTATGAGGGTTAAACCTGTGTCCAAAACAGAGATAGCAAAACTCCCAAATGGGCTGGTACCTGATGTCAGCTAACTGCAGTCATCTGTCCATCTGACTACATAAACCTGGTGTGGCCAAATGTTGTTGGCCCTGAAGACCAGGAATCAAGGAAACAACTGTGCAGACAGGGCTGTAGGACTGATCCAGACAACCGGGTGGCTGTGTGCTGCTGGTGGAGCCACTGAGGCAACAGAGGAGAAGGCAAGAAGTGGGGCATGGGGGTAATGCAAGGTCCTGCTCAGCTTAAGTGGACTGTGGGCCAGAGAGCAAGGATTTGAGAGGCCAAAGGATCTTTTGTCTGAGAACAAGATCAAAGGGAATTTGCCCTTGGAGGTAACGCTAAAGGCTACGGGGTCCACGTGTACCCGCTCCACAAACCTCAAGAGTCAACTTTTATTCCCACTAGGGAACCACTGTGACCCCTCTGCAGAGTCTGTCATAAAGCACAGTGTGTGATGTTCAGAAACTGAAGGAGAGCACCAAGGAGCAGATGTTACCAACCTTCCAGCATCTACCACAAAAAGCAGTAAGTTCCCAGGCATCACCTCTGGTTGTCCTTGTGCAGCTGGTGCTGGATGCCATCTGCCTCATGCTGCTGCTCCCTTTTCAGCTGCCTCTGTTCCTCTTTCCTCCTTTTGTGCTCAGTCTTGGCTCTGTCGAAGCCCATCTCTTTCCATCTCTCCTGAGATGCACCATTAAGGATTGATTTCTAAGAGGAAAAAAGCCAAACCAAACCCTTAATCCCATCAGTGTATTTTTCTAATGCAAACTGTAAACACACAAAACCAGAACAGCTTAGTTCTTATGTCACTCGAGGTCTGGAAGCTACACTGGCCCATGAATACTGAAGTTGCTCCCCACCCATGAACACACTGAGGATGATGCTAAAACCTATAGAAAACATTAGGCTTAACCAACCAAGGGGCGCCTGAAAATCCAATGTTCTGGATGTTCTGGCGTTGAGCCAATGCTTAAAACTGCCCAGTCTTTGTGTCAGTTTTGTGTTTGGATGGAAAACCCAGGTTCTGACCACAAATCATATTACATATTCCTCATTAGATTTTATCAGAAAGAGAAATACCTGCCCCCCTCTGGCCAAACACAAAATATTCCCGGAGTTCTCTGCGGGTGTAGCAACTCTTCACCTGTTGTCTGAGATTTCTACTTATGCTCAAGCAGTCTTGATGTGTTCTTCACTAGTGGCTGCATTACAATGCTGGGCAATGCTGCTAATTTGTGTTTTTAAATGCACCGTGCTGTGCAAGGATATGAAGGAGCACCTACAAGGCTCCTTTTCATAGCCAGAGTGAACTGTTTCTTTCTTTTGTACTCCCTACAGTGCCCTGTATGAGGGAAGGAGCAAGGAAACACCACCAAAACTTCAGACATGCATTCAAGTTTACATTCCTAGAGCTGTTTAGGGCTGGAACAGAATTTCCACAGAATATTTTCCTCTCCTTCCTCCTATTCCCAGCTGCAGTTAGCATGTTCCTGCTGTTAGCTGCTCCTCTGCAAACACAATGCCACCTCTCCAGTTATTTCCTGTGGACAACTCTAATATCACAAGCTACAAAACACTACAGGACCTTCAAATAAGGTCCTGCCAGTCTCACGTAGCATTTTGATGGGTTTCTCTTAACACATTGATCTGTATGGCTTCCCAGGGGCTGTAAACAGCTTTGTTCTCCAGTGTATTGCTATTCCTTGCAAAAAAATGTACCTTGTGGGTGTTTGTGTTTAATGACATACAGAGGGAGAGATCAAAGAGAGAATCAAAGGTGTTTTATAGGTGGGAGGTGAAAAAATGGTGTTTTCCAACAGGTACAGTACTGGCCTAAGGTTTAGGAGACAAAGTTGCACCTCAGCCCTGACATGCACTCTCTGCTGTGGGATTCAGCTGACTATCCAGACTTTCTCTTTTTTGGTTTCAGTATGTGTAAAAGAGGAATAAGATTTTTGCTGTCTAGTAGAGCTGGCAGAGAGTTTTATTTAGAAAAGATTAGATCTAAAATAAAAAAAAACTCTATCAAAAGTGCTGAGTAAAAATACCAGAAGTGCCCTGCCCTGTACAACATGGATTCCCAAGTGGAATCCTTAAGATTCTATTTATGCATAACCATTATTCTACATAGGCATAATTTTTGTTGCAGCAAAAACCTCTGCAGGAGATCAAAGGAAAGAACATTCTCACACGACATAAACAAATCTCCTGATTCTGGGAGAGCTAAATCTGGCTTGGACCAAATACTTACTGTAATGCTTTTGTGTTTTAGAAGGTTTAGAAGTTTTGTGGATCTCCTAGCCAGCACATTGGTGGTACTGTGTGGTCTCTGTACACGCAGAGCTGATCCGATGGTCAGGCTGTCTTTCTCTAGCGATTGATTCACTTGGTCAAAGAAGCTTTGGCGCCTGAAAGGAACCAAAGCACTGGTTCCCAGGGAAGGGCTCCTTGGGGAATGCTGGACTGGAGCTTCTGCCACTCTGGACTCAAAAAGACCTTGCAAATAAATTAGGGCAAGGACATATGAGAATATAGGAAGCTTATAAAAAGAAAGCAAGTTGAAAGAACAAAAGGTCTTCTCGTATAAAATATATTCAAGTAAGAAAGACTTTTATAACATTTTCCTCTGAGGGAAAATTTCTAGACTTCACAAAACAGGTCCCAGCTTCTTTCCAGAAACAAGCTTGCTATTGCAGTCAGGGAAGAGTTTTGCCTGGTAACACAGGACTTTTGACTGCACTTACAGCTACTCAAGCTAAGAGATTGTTTATGTGGTATTTCACAGACATGGGCTGCTCTGCTCTGAGTGAAAATGATAAATCTCTTGATGGGGCAAAGCCTGAGCTGTACATCCTGCTGAGAGACAGGAGACATTAGCTTGGGCACAATGCTGTGCTAACACAGCTTTTGGGTAGCTGAGAACATGAGCAGAGTTTGCTCACACCCTTCTGCTAAAGACAGTACGGACCTGAGTGGCAGCTGCTGCATGGAACGATGCTGGAACACCAGCTGGGAGGAAACGTGCACCCCTGTGTGACTGTTCATTCTCCCTCTACCAGCAGTGTCACAAAGCAACAACAGAGAAAGCTTTAGGCTTTCAGAATCCTCACTTAAATGCCTGCCATTGTCACAAAACTAAAAATGAGAACAGCAACACTTGGATTAAAATTGTGATCCAGCCCCTTTTGGATGTTAAGGGAACAAAAGGTTACTCAATGACAAGCAACAGTTTTCAGTACAGATAAGAGAAGTGTTCTGCAGAACAGTCCTGGTGAAATTTTTTTGCTATAGACAGTAATAGTTAATGCTACAGATTAATTTGTAAAGTAAAGACATTTTATAATAAATAGTATTTATACTGGGTGTTATGATAAAGTTTAAGAAAACCCAAAAGCTGCTAGTGCAGTAGCTGTAAAAGCCAAAAAAACCTGATTTCCATCTGAAAATTCTTTCACCTTGAGACGATGAACAACTTCTCAAGCTAAAGCACTATTAATACCTACATATAAATATACTACATAATGATGGCCATAGTCACAGCATGGTATTATGGCATTTCCTTTTGAAGCATCAAGATTTATGGCAACAGATCTTAGACACCATGACCTGCTGCAGTGATATTGTGTGGCAAGTGTTACATTTGGGTAAAAGAGCTACAGTTCCACTACCATGCTCGTGTTTAAAATGAGCTTCAGTTTCAGCATCCTGCTGCCTGCTCTCTGGTTCCTCCTTGTGATCTGTCTCCATTAACCAGCTGTCTGTGTTAACGGCGGTATCAACCATAGCACGAGCCATCTCCCTCTGAGCACCCTAGAAATAACAAGAAATGCATTCATAATCCAGACCTGATAAGGAAAAGAATAGATTAGTTTCATGAACTTGCAGCAGAAGATTCTAAGTTGTAACTGAAGTTTAAGAAAATCAAAAAAGACAAACCCCGGGGGAGTTCTTTACTAAAGAAACAACTCTTAGGTAGAGTAATTTCCGATCACTTTGTGGGTTTGTCTACACCTCCAAATGACCTAAAACTGGCAGTACTTCTGCTTGGAAGGGTCTAAACTGGTAAAAAAAGAGATCAGGCCAGAGGACCTCTGGTTGAAAGACAGTCCTGTTTCTGGCACCTGCCAGAAATCAGGATTCTAACCCTTGCAGAGATAAGCTCGGCAATAGCTGGTGCACATGAACCTCCTCCTTACTGATCCTCGCCCTGTTCACAAGCACCAAGTCAACTGCTGAGGATAACTTAAGCCTCTTATGGTCTTTGATTGAGAGAGGGGACACATCTAACAGGGTGGAGAAGTACCTTAATAGAATTATGTAAGAGACTGTCTTGGTGTGGAGCAACCCTCACTTTAATCCTTATCCAGTGCCAAGTCTTCTGTCTGACACTTTTTTCTGCCTTTACCTCCTTCATACAGAAGCAGGATGTAGAGAAACTGGGCTATGCAACACTTATATTCTGCATCCATGGAAGAGATTCTAGAAGCCTGCTCCAGCCAGGGACAATGACAGCTTATAACTCTTTCCCTGGTCAAAGGATCAGGAAGACAGTGCAAAGTCTCTCCATTCTTTAGCAGGCATATATAGGGGCCAGGCCTAAAACCTCTAGTAAGTTTTTGGTACCAAGGGCAGTAAACTTCAGGTAACAAAGCAAATTTATAAAAATAGCAGACCACATAGTGACAGAAAAGCCAGAGTGAAACATTTTTTACCTTCTTAGGTTCTATAAACTCATTGTCCTCTTCCAAACAAGACCAAACGTCTTTTGGAACATTTTCTGTCTCTAATCTCGTCTCTTCCTTTTTCTCTTCCTCTCTGGAAACACTTTCTGAAGATGTAATTCTCAGTTCAGACAGTTCCTCTTCTATTTTCTTGCTGAGTACTTCTTCAGCCAAGCCTGTTCCTGGGATGAAGGCATTTTCCTGCTGCACTTTGCACCCTACAGGCCGCGTGGGTTCCCAGGCTGCCAGGCAGCACCGGGGGAGCGAGGTACACTCCCAGCTGCACTTAGCACATAGATGAGCTGAGTACAGACCCCCTGGCCAGCAGTCCAGGTCTGAGTGACCCAGTCTGTAGTGGCCTGAGGCTCTATAACCCGGTGTCACAATGTATGGGTAGTGTAAGCTTGAATCTACCACCATCTGCCTGGCTGCTAAAGGCATCTGCAGTTCTAGGATGATCCGTTCGCTTAAGGGCAGAGGAATCTGCAGAGCTTGGTCAGAAGACACCTCCTTGGTCTGCCCATTCCAGAAATTCACAAGCACTCCACTTCTGTTGTGTGCTGTGCTTATCAAAAACAAAAACAAAAAGGCAAATAATGTATTAGCAGCAGAAAGCTGCAGTTAAAAGTAACGACTCATGTTTCAGATAATTTTGTAACAACTTCTATGATCTTTTTTCTTTATAGGTTTAAAATCTGACCTTCTTTTGAACTTCCTATGAGGAGACAGGAGACAACAAAATTCTCACTTGTCACAGTGAGGCAGGGTTTTACCCTAAAATAGCAGGAAACTAGGCTAACAGATAATCAGGTGAATACTCATGAGGGCCAGGAACATTTTTTGCTTTGTGTTGCCCAACCCCCAATATTTTAAGAAGTTTTCAGTTACAGAACAAAGCAAACACACATTCTAGGAGCTGCATTAATTCGGACACTGAAAAAGAACAGGCTGCTTAGTGTCAACAACACGAATACAGCGAAGAGAACCCAAGCAGCAGGTGGGGAACTCTCCGGGATGGAGACTGTTCCCTTCCCCGTACAGTGACCAGCCCCCGTGGTGAGTCCAGCGCTACGAAGAAAACCAAAACACCCCGCACCTAAATGTGCCTCCTTGCTCTCCACAACCTTCAGCACAGTGCCGGGGCCAAAACGTTCAGCTCTAGCCTCCCACGGTGCCAAGACCCTGTCTCCCGGAGCCAGACGCCGTCTCCTGGCATCCTCGTAGTGGAGAATGTCGTAGAGAGGCGTTTCCTGCAGGCGGAGCTGTACCTTGCCTTTCCGAGCACGACTTTTGTCAAACTCAATTACAAAGCGTTCCCTGGAGCCCTACAAGAGTAAAACATGCGGTTTGCAAGGCAGACATCTGGGTCCAATTAACGGCCAAACATTAAGTGCTAAGAGGGAAGTGGCAGTAATCCCGGGAAGCAGGACGTGATCTGGAAATGCAGCTTTCCTCTTCTACCAGATTTTTCACTGCACTGCGTCCATATTGGATTTAAAAGTAAATAAAACGCTGGGGTTTAAGGGGCTGACAGCCTTTCTCTTCCTTTGGATTTAGATTTTAGTAAGAACACAATTAGCGTGCTAAGGCAGAACTTTACCAGGAAAACCTCCCATAAGAAAATGAGTAGCCAAAAGAAATTGCTGTGCATGATGCAGTTGTCTACATAGCAATCAGAAGGGTAACAAACCAGTAAAATATCACAACTGTCAAAAATTGAAATGTTTTAATTTAAGCCTTCAGCAGTGGGTGTGGGGAAGATCTACTACTGAAATCTCAGCCTTGTTTGCAGATCTGTGAGTGCACTTACACAAATAATACTTTCAGCTCCTACTCCAGTCATGCCACTCGTGCCTGTAACTGTCCCCATCTGTTCCACCCCACGCTGGAGCTTACAGACATCCTCACCTGCACTAGCATCAAAGTTCAGTTAAATAACCTGCAAACAGCAAAATGAACTGGGTTTTAAAAGAAAGCCTGCAGGGCAATTTTCTGTCTGGCATCCAAAATCACCCCGCAATTTCCAAAAGATAGATGGGAGAGAATGAGGAAAGCTCTCAGTTTGGTAAAGAGGAATTGAAACCTGGAGACAGACATTTTGGATTACTAGTTGCTATTTAGCTAACTGACTTTACTGCTAGACTGGGCAAAAGTAGACAATAGGGATAAGGGACCTGTTCTGTTTGTTTCTGAATAAAACCTTATTATAACTACAAAAATGGATTGATCTCCAGGCTCCTTTTTCTTGCAGGGTTCCTCACAGTAAACAGCCAGTCAGCATCAGGTGATCAGGTAACAGATTAAAATAGGATGTGGGGAGACAACAGTGGTTGTGAAGTGCACTGTATCACAGGAGAGCCACCCCACAACAAGGGCACGTGACTGGTGAGGAATGAGGACAATAGGGAAAAAACCCACAGATGTCCTTGCAGCACAGTTCCCAATAAATAGTTACCTTCACCTCTTGGGCAATGTGGCCCAGGTAGTAATAGCCATCAGTTTCTCTCCTTGCCAACACACGGGCCCCCCTCACTAAACTGGACACCTCTGGGGATGAACCAATGAAATTACTCTTTGCTGAGGATATCAAGGGTGCACAAAGAGGACCTGGGTTCCATGCGCAAACAGGAAGGCTGTGGAAAACAAAAATACAAGAAGTAATAAAGACCTTGGCAACAGAACTTCTGTAACTTACTGCAATAAAAACAAACTAAATCAATATGGAGCACACCCCTCACCCTGCAATAACTGTCTTTGATTCCCAGCTTTTCTCTTCTCTGCTTTTCCAGTAGCTCATCTACAGATTTTGAACTTACTATGTCATTGGACATCTTGGCAGCAGAGAGCCATGGGAATCTTTATTAGTGTGACAACACTGGACATGTGAGATGGACCTGGAGCTTACCTGGAAGGGGGAAGGATGAGATGGAAGCAGAAAATGAGCATGATTTTTGAACACTTACATCCTTAAACTGGAATATTGTTCATAAAGTTTACTTTCAGTACATTACTTCTCTCTATAATTCTTCCACCATATCTTGTAGTACTATGCTGCTTATCTGTAAGTTCACCACAAACGGTTTTGATTTTGAGAAATCAATTTTGGAAAGAAGAAATATTAAAAAATAAAACATAAGAATTATATGATAAACACCCCCCCCCCTTGTGTTGCACCTGGTTTCTAATCATCTGCTAGGTATGTAGCAGGGGTATCACTGTTTCTTCAGTCAGTATGAGATATGCTGTTCAAAGGACAACGTGTCATTTCAAGGACACTATTGTCGGTGTCCATTTTGGCCCATTTCAGATCCTATAACAGTTTTATTCTACTGTGAAGGAGGCACTAGGTATGCAATTCTTGAATCAGAATAGTTTTACTTTCTTACAATTCTTAAATTGGAATAGTTTTACTTTCTTACTAATCCTTACACCTTTTAGTTAACTGATTTTAGTAAAGAGCTTTGAACCTGGAAAAGACACCCATTTCTCAGGACAAGGCACAGCTCGGAGACAGGCAGCAGAAGAGAGGGAGGGTGGGGGTCCTGGAGCTGCCTCTCCCATCCCCAGGAGCAGGTACTCCTCAGCAATGCAGGCACATCAATCTTGCTGGCTCCCTCCCAGGCCCTCTGCCCCTGGCTCTCCAACAGCAGCGTGAGCAGCAGTGGCCACGTGTGCATTGCAGCTGTCCAAGCTCCCCAAGCCAGCAAGAGCTGAAAGGTCAGTGAAAGGACCTGAAGTCAAAGAAGAATGAAGGAGGTGGGGGTTGAGTCTAGGGAGACAAAGATGCCTCTGTAAGTCAAAGGCAGCAGTGGAGACATCTGGCCCGAGCAAGATGAAAAACACGAAATGTTTGAGAATGGTGACACAGGGAACAACATGCCAGGGACAATGAGAAGGCAGAAAGACAAAATACGAGGCAGTTGGAAGGTAGAGTTGACAATAAAACTGTGAACCTTATATCAAAGCGTTCAGCTTTTATGGAAAAACATAAACTTGGTATGGAGCATGTTGCAGAATGTTTTTGCATTGATCACATGTTAAGTAAAAACAAAGATTGAAGAGTTTGCTCTGTTAACTGTTGCTGAAAACGCATTAGGGCTGTTCTGAGGCTCAGATGAGCAAGGAAATTAAAATCGCTTAACTACAAAGATGTCCACTGCTCTTTCAGCTGAGGATGTCAGCTGTTTGGGATGTTAACAAAACGAGATTATGTTACTTATTTAAAATACAGTGTTTAATATCCTTCACTCAAGGTGAAGGATAAAACAACACCAAAATCTGTGAATCGGGGTCCACTGGCTGTAGGCAAGGCTGTACAGTCACGAGCAAGGAAAATGGAAAACCTGAGTGAGGCGTTTGTTCTCTCCTTGGGACCTTCACCCCGCACCTGTCAGAAACACATCCTTTCAAGTGCTGGTCTGTAAAGTTCAATGAAATCACTTCACAGGCAAATCTTTCCCTGTAAAAGTAAATGGAGCCAGAGCAAGGTATACCCAAATTTGACTCCAAGTGTTGGCGACGATGCCTTTTGCTCAGGGGCTACACAAAGCACTGTCTTTCCTCCCAAGCAGTGATTCAAGGTACAGGTAATATACAACTGGAAGGCTAGATATGCCAACTTGGGATGTCAGGTGCAGCCTGGCACAGAGATGCCAAACCTATTTAAAATCTTTATCCACAGACTCCTCTGTTCACAAGCTGCTAGGTAAAACAAAGTTACTCTTTCAGAGGGTCACAGAAACTCTTCCCCGGTTCACCTTTGTTAAACGTCATCCAATAAAGATTCAGAAGGAACTAACAAGTATGGACCAATCTTACATTAGCAGCATACCTTGTCAGGAGGAGTAGGGGGGAGTCTGATTCCTTGAAAGGACCCCTCTGATAGTCTGGCTACTTTCTCCATTATTTTTTGCTTCTTTTGGGATCACCTGGATGTCCCAGGAGGCATACCACACGTACTACTGAATGAAACTGGTTCTCCACAAGAAGTTGGCAGAATTCCTCCAACCAGATACACCCAACGGACCTCCAATAGATACACCCACTGGCAGACTGGTTCTTCCAATGCCACGTTCCCAAGGCACAGGGATCGAACCCAGGCTGCAGCTCCAGGGACGCTGCCGAGTGAGCACTGACCACTGCAACACCTATGGGAAGGGGAAAAAGGAAACAACAAAAGCCCCTCACACGGGCGGACTTTCGCTGAGGCGGGACAGGTGGGAATTCTTTATTAGGTGTATCTGTGCTGAGGAGCCCCGGAAATCGCCTCTGCGCTCCCACTGCCGGGCCACGGGGCGGGAAGAGGCTCTGCACCTGGTGCTCCTTCAGGGCTACCGCCCCTTCAGGAACGCTTAAGGCTACATCCCGACACCGAGAGTGAATCCCCGCATCCCGGCCCCGCCAGGGCGGGAGACACCGCGCGCGTGCCCCGTTGCTACGCAACCGCACTCCGCGGGCTGGACCACCCCGGGCGCCCAGGGATGGACACACGGCCGCCTGACTCCTTTTAGCCCCTTCCTTAGAGACCAGCAGCCGGCGCCGCCTTCTCCCCAAGCCCCAAAAGCGGCGATTTGGCCGGGGAAGTTTCCCCGCTCTTCGACCTCCGTGGGCGACGGCAACTTCTGGGACTCACTGGCAGCCCCCGGTTCGTGCCGCCGCGCCGCTCCCGAGTGCTGGGCAGTGCTGGGCAGTGCTGGGCAGTGCTGGGCAGGGCTGGGCAGGGCAGGTGTGCGGGGACAGCGGCGCTATATCCCTGTGCGCCTCGGAGCCTCCGAGCCCCGGGATGTCCCCGCCCCGCGGTGTCCCCGCCCCGGAAGGCGGCGGCGGCTCCAATGGGTGCGGCTGTTGCTGGGCCGTGCGGGTGACATTGGGCACGGACATGGTGGTGGCGGCGCTGGGCCGGGCGGCGGCGGCGCGGCTGCTGCGGGCCGGGGTGGCCGCGCCGGGGCGGCGGCGGTGAGCGGGGCGGGTTTGGGGGGGTGCCGGGGGAGCGGGGCGGGCTCGGGGGGTTGCCGGCGGGGCCCGTACTGAGGCGGGGCCCTGCGTGTGCTGCAGCGCGGGCGGCGGCGGGGTGCACATCGCGCCGCGGTACCGGCAGGTCCCGGAGCTGACGCGGGCGCAGGTGATCCGGAGCGAGTTCCTCAGCGGCCTCATGTGGTTCTGGATCCTCTGGCACTTCTGGCACAGCTCGGACATGGTGCTGGTGAGTCCGGCGTGGCGGCGGCGGGGGGGCGAGAGCCGGGGTCGGGCCCCGGCCGCGCTCTGACCGCGCCTCTCTCCCAGGGACACTTCCCGTATCCCGACGCTTCGGCCTGGACGGACGAGGAGCTCGGGATTCCTCCGGACGACGAGGAATAGGCGCGTCCAGCCGCGGGGGCCGGCAGCACACGGGTACGGCTCCCGCCGCCCCCCAGCACGGCCCCGGGCTGGGCTTTGCCTTCGGAGCTGCGGTGCAGCCCCGGGGCACCGTGCCCGGCTCTGCCTCCTGCTGGCACCGCCAGAGGTGCCCCGCTCTCAGCGAGTATTCGAGCATTGGTGTAGGAATACTGCTGGAAGCGTTTGCCCGAGGTGTAAACGTGCCCAGTTTCTGTGGTACAGGGCACAGGTGTTTGCACTGTTCATCGCTGCCTTGTCTCAGGTGCCCGAGTGCTCGAGACCTGCAAACAACTTGGTTTTTTACGAGTTGTACCTTAGCTGGTACCAGTTCAAAATTATTTTCTTTAAGCTGTTCTGTAGACCCAGCATTTCCTAACCTTGAGGGCATGCTCTCTGTGTTTATAGAGAGATCTGTCCAGATGTCCCCTTAAAGATTTGAGGCTTTTGCTTGTTTCCAGTTCTTTAATTACCCTGTCTTTTAAGCTGTTGCGTCACGTATTACAGCTCTAAAACCAACAGCTTCAACTACTGCCAAAGGCAGCATGGGCACTGTTGAGGGGGTCCTTCTACTCTTTGTGGTGGGAAAAGGATGGGTGAAAAGGTTCTCAGGATTCTCTTCTGTTACTTTCAGGTCCCTGGAACTAATGAGGCTCTTGGAACCAAAGTTTTGGCTCCTGGGTCCTTATTTCAATAAAACTGTAAACAAAGTCTCAGCTAAATTGTATTTTTTTTTTAGTAGAATTTCTGGAGAATGACCACTGCGGCTTCAGAGGTGGGGTACTTGAGTCCATGTGAGCTTCTGTAATGTCTGCTTGATAGAGAATGTGTTGACCCCAAGAAATAAGGGCTGTGAGTGCATAGTAGGTAACAGTCTTATCATTAAAGCTCTGTCAAATAACCAATAACAGAGTGAAGGGAAGTTGCCACAGAAGCAGGGGAATTTACCCAGAAGAGAACCCAGACCAGCTGGTGCCAGGCTTTCCCCAGGGTGATGGGGAATCACCATGGAGTACATAAAAGTCCAGAATAATCCTTGTGAAGCAAAACCCTTTGCAAAGGTAAAAATGCCTTAGGGCTCAGCACAGCAGTCAAGGAGGCAGTGGTCCACCTTAAGGAAGCTGAAGGGAGGTGGCATCCCTTGATTTTATTTTTTTCCTTCTCTTTCCCTTCCAGAGTTACATCCTAGAGTAACTTTTTCACTCCCCTTAACTACCTTAGTTGCCCCTCTCCAACTTCATGGAGAGGAGGAGTTGAACATGACACAATAAACAATCTACTTCAGACTTTTCCATGCAGTCAATCTTTATTATAGCAGTATTCTCATATTCACATCAAGTACATAGAACTTTTTGCCTTTCATATAATACAGAGTTCTTTAAATAACTTTACACAGAAATAGTTTTCTTCAATCTGAATTCAGCTATCAAATTTTAATATGTTTTAAGTCTCCATGCTCTCTAACCAAACTGGACAATATTTCCCATTGTACAAATTTACATGAGAAAAACTCCAAAGTACAAATGGAGGGACAACAAAAGTAAAGGGGGAAGGAACAAACAAGAAAAATAAGTTGTATTGGCAATTACAGGGGAAACTTGAGAAGGAACAAAAGGGAGTTGTCATGACCTACGTAACAGGAAACCGAAAATAAACGTTTTGTTACGAATTAAAAAATAAATACAAGTTTCAAAACAATTACTCCATTGTAGATTTTAAAAAGCAGCTATGGAAATCTACTAACACAATTGTTTTTTTTTTTTTTAAGTAACCAGACTGGACCTTCTACTTTGCAGTCATAAGCCCCTTGCAAACCTCTGGTGGTCAAAAAAAAATACAGCTGAAAGGAATGTGTTAGCACAGAGTTTAAAGTGGTGGGTCAAACATTTCATTGCACTAAGGAACAAACAAACAGAAGAAATTAAATCTGTATATAAATTTCCCTTTCCTCTCCTTACTACATACTTTGCCTCTCATAAACAAGCCTCTGTATTATGAGGTAATGCCATTGTCTTGACTATATATAAAAATAATAAAGTTTAAAGGATATAGATCTGGATATCTATAAACTTTAAACAAGCCAGTCCTCCCTTACTCCCCCAGAGGGTCCAACTACTGAGTGCTACACCTTCTGTCATTGCTCAGTGCATCGTGCCTCTCCTGGGAACCCCCAAGAGACCCGTGCCCCTTTCCTAATCTAGGAAAAGCAGCCTGTGCTCAAGTGAGACAGAGAGACAGTGCAAGTAATGCACCACAGATCACACACACCCACACCTGCTCCTGCAGAACAAGGCAGAGTCACAGAAGGCAACAGTGGCCAGCCTGCATGTGTGTTTGGACAGGGGAAGAGGGATCCAATTAGGCATGATAGCTGATTATTTCTGCAATTGTTCAAGAATAATGTCACCTGCCCAGCCCTGGGAGATGGTCACAACTCCCCTCCCACCTCATTCTGGGTGTAACAACTGGAGGACAAAGGGCCAGGAAGAACATTGCACTTGGAGTCAGGATGACCACGGCGCAGGTGGGCTGGCTCTGGCATCCCGGATTGTTGCAGACCTTGCTCCAGAGGCACAGGTCAGCACTGGATCCCAAAGGGATTTCAAGGGTGGCAAGATGTATGAGGCAGGACTTTCCCCAGTCCCAACAAATGAGATCAGAAGAACAGCAACATTAATTTGGGTTGCCAACACATGCAAGTTGGCCACTGTCAGGTTTCTGTCAATTGAGAAGTGTGGAGAAGGGGGGAGGAAGGGGAGGCAGATAGGACACAAGGCTCATGAAGGAATGATGTGCTTTTTTTTTGGTTGAGTTTTTTTTGTTTCTTTTTTTTTTTTTCCCCTAAAGGTTCACAGCTTTGAATAAAAAAGCACATTTATTGCACTTACACATTTTAGACAGAGTTAATTTAAATTATGCCCTCGGAACCCCCCACCATCCCAAAATAACCCAACACCCAAGTTTGGTCCATTTTCCCCCCCCAGACCCAACATCCATGCCCAGATGATGGGCTTCATTTCTTCTCCTAATTTTCCACTGAACTCCCACACACTCAGATAGATTTTCTTTTCAACTAGGGTGAATACACAAATGCAACACAGAATGACATTTAGCAAAACAAAACCTGACCACTTCCCAAACCCAAACAAAAAGAAAAAAAAAAGAAAACAAAAAAAGAAAACATAGTTACTTTTGTGGTTTACTTGCTCAAAAGTAAATGTCACACAAGGCTTATTCTAAAGTACAGCTGCTGCAAACATGACAAACTAGACAAAATGATGGACAGGCCACTGTTGGCTCTTAAGGAGACTGGATGAACAGAACACACTGCTGCTGGATACTATGAAGCAAATACCTAGGTAGTTTAGAAGTTTCTAAACCCTCCCATCAGCTCCCTTCTCTTAGGGAAAGAGTTTCTTTGAGATTTTCTTAAGAAAAAAACAAACAAGAAAATAACTACCTCCTCACATGTACTTTTGGTACAGAATCTGGGGTAGGTAGAAGGATTCCAGATAGTTCCTGGAACATGAGTAAAACATTTTTACACTTTCCTTTCTAAAAGGAACAAACCCAAATTAAAATTGGTCTGATATTTCACATGAACTGTGCATTTGGACATAACTTTATAATTGACAATTATGCCCAAAGTCTTGCCCCAAAGAAAATGAAAAGATCTGAAAAAGCACTAATACCCAAACCATTATTTTGTCCCTCATGGACAAGTAGGTTAAATATGACACTGGTATGTAAGTACTGCCAGAAGTCTATGTAATCAGTTTGAAATTTGAACTAATCAAATTCACACACACTGGCTGTCCCTCAGCTGACACAACACCTACCATCTCCCACAGTTAATGTGCAACAACAGGATGCGATCACTGAAAAGCAACTGCAGGAGGCCCAAGAAGAACTGAGGAAACCTGCTGATATTCCAGAAAACAAAACTTACTGCACTTTCTGGAACAGGGAACTGATTATATGATATATGTGGACTTTCATTACATGAGTAGTAGCCATCAATTTCTCTTCATCTAGCTCTCATTTTTCATCTACCATCTCATTCCAAGATGCTATAACACTGTAACTTTGGGTCTCTTCAGAGCTTTCTATTTCTTTTCTTTGACAAGGTCTCTGTGTCTGTGGAGGGGGAGGAGGGCTTGTTTTTAAATTGAATGAACCTCATTTAACTGTTACAGAGCAGACTTCAAGCAGCAGGTTTACTGTACCTGAATTAGGTATCCTTCAATTCCTACCTTTGAAATGCTAATAGGTATCCTAGGGAATGCTCTGCCCTCCTTGCTCCTTTACAGAAGTTTACCAACTCGAAACTACCTACCTATAGTGATAGCTATATACAAAACTACTGCAGCAGAAGTAAACCAAAGACACTGCTCTAGTTACAAAGCACCTGGTTTACATTCTGTTGTACTTTTTAAGGTTGCAAAGGCACATGATCATTTGGCAAACTACAAAAACTGTTTTGGGGGTCCCTATGTAAACACTTTAACAGATGGTCTTGGTAGCTCTCTTTTCTAAAGGAAAGAGATATGCTAGTTTTCATCTGAAGTCACTCTCGATGTACTCTATATTCTGCAGCTTTTAAAGTTTCCTCCTTCCACAGGTTCATAGTTACTTACTGCTGTCACAGTGCTGACTTAGTAGCTTCTGTATTAGCATCCTTGAAACTTAAATGCAAAGAAAGAATTTTAACAACTTTGCTCTGCTCTGCTGATAGTTTTATTTACTAGGCAAGAATCTCAGAATATGCTGAGTTGGAAGGGACCCATCAGGATCACTGAATCCAACTCCTGGCCCTGTGCAGGACACCCCAAGAGTCACACCATGTGCCTGAGAGCATTGTCCAAATGCTTCATGAACTCTGTCAGGCTCGGTGCTATGACCACTTCCCTGGGAAGCCTGTTCCAGTGCCCAGCCACTTTCTGGGTGAAGAACCTTTTCCTCATATCCAACCTCAATCTCCCCTGACTCAGCTTCATGCTGTTTCCTCGAGTCCTGTCACTGGTCATGAGAGTGAAGAGATCAGTGCCTGCCCCTCCTCTTCCCTTGTGAGGATATTGAAGACTGTACTGAGTCTTCTCCAGGCTGAACAAGCCAAATGACCTCAGCCACTCCTCATATGGCTTCCCCTCAAGGCCCTTCACCATTTTCATGACCCTCCTTTGGATACTGCCTTATAGCCTAATGTCTTTTTTACATTGAGGTGCCCCAAAATGCTCACAGTACTCAAGGTGAGGACGCCCCACTGCAGAGCAGGACAATCCCCTCCCTCATCCAGCTGGTGATGCTTTGCCTGATGCCCCCCAGGACACAGTTGGCCCTCCTGGCTGCCAGGGCACTGCTGACTCATGTTCAACTTGCCATTGACCAGGACCCCCAGGTCCCTTTCTGCAGTGCTGCTCTCCAGCCTCTCCTTCCCTGCTCTGTGTGTACATCCAGGGTTGCCCCATACCAGGTGCAGAATCCGGCACTTGCCTTTGTTAAACTTTACACAGTTGGTATGGAGTAATGAAGCAGTGAAGAAAAGTATTTAAAATGCGCATCAAAACAAATACTAACTACAAACACACAGTAACAAGGCTGCAGCAAACAGAAAGTTTGTTTCATAAACTTCTGTGTAAAATGCGTAACAGAAAAGAATACCCAGCACCTTCAGAGTGATGCCCTAAGAGTCAACTCACACAACTGCTTTTTAACTTGACTGTACCTAGAAAGCTTTTCTGTCACACTGTGCTATCGGTGATAGATTCTTTCAATAGAGAGAAGACACGTTGTATACAGTACTATGAAGGGTTTGTGCTACACATGCTGTACTCATAGTCAAGAAGGGAATGAAATCTAGAGGCTGCAAAAGTGTGAAATGTCTACATGCTTCTTCCCTAAATGTAGCCCCTCCAGCTATCAAAGCTTCAATTTGAACTTGTTTGTGAGATGTCTGGGGATCTGGCTTCCTTAAACATTCTGTAAAATGCCGGATGCATTTACATCACCAGGAAAACACAGAAGAAAACCTATTTATGTGTGATCTTCAGTGATCTCCCCCAATTTGGGCATTTGTGGAACGACATGGTATTTATCAACAGTCAGCATTTTACTCACTTTTATGTCACAAAGGCCAAATTCTCTAATCCAAGTAATGCTGAGAGGCCATGGTAAGATGGCAGTACTTGGCCTCAAACATTCTGCATCATCATCAGCTGCTAGAGCATTCAAGTACAAGGAGAGATAATTTTAGGTAAACATAAAACGCAGAAGTAGATTCATTTAATGACCTGCGTGAGTTTAGCAAAAATGAAATGAATGGGTTAATTTATCTGGGGCCATGTGTGACTTAATTCATGCAGAAATTACTCTGAAAGTCCTCCAATCTCTGTACTCCTACCATCAGGTTTTAAGCTCCACTACACTGTTCCAGTTCCAGCAAATACGACACAGGAAACAATCACGTACTGACAGGGAAGATGTAACAGATAACAGGCCTCATCTAACTGTACGAAAAAGGAAAGGCAGAGGGGAAGGTCTATGTGTGGTTGATAAAGACATGAATAGCTGGGACTGGATACTGGTACTTTTGCAAATAATTGTTAAATACTGGATACTGTAGAGCCTAAAGAAGCTGTGTGACCGACGTTTGCCCCAACATGTGCACACAAAATATGTACTAACATTTCCATACTATGGAATGTGCTTGTTGCTGGGACACCACGAAGAAGCTTAAGGAATTTGGGGTAACGGGCATGAATGTATTGATCATTTCAGTTTACTTCCTTCATCCCACTGCTACACAGGGCACTCATTTCTCGTCTACTCGTTTCCCCATTCACTAAACATCTACAGGGCACCTTTAAGACTGGTTATGATGGCATGCAAGACATCCAGAAAAACTCCCGAAGGAAAAGATAAAACCAAAAATAATCCCAATTATTTACAAACCACATTTCTTCCAACATTTTGCATGAACATTATGTGGGACCTCTTACAGACAAACACATATTACTACACTTATCTGGAGGGAAACAAACAAACATGAAAACCAGTAGAAATGCATCCTGAAAGGACTTACCTAAACAGCAGCCAAACAACTTGCACATTCCTCAGGGAACAAAAAATCAAACCAAAACCAGAAACAAAAAAGAAAAACAAAACTACAAAAAAAAACCACTTAAAAAAGAAAAAAACAAAACAAAACAACCCAGAGATCATGTGTTACTTATAAAGTGCTTTGCATGGACAAGGATAGCAATTTTCCTTGTGCTTTTCCTATGGGCTCAAGAAGCATATTGTAGACTAATGGGTAATGAATCTCCACCAAAGTAAGTTCATTTTAAGCAAAGACAGAACAAAGTTCCTAACAGACAATCTTCTGCCAGCATGACTTTGTGGAAGGAAACTAGGGCTTTTAACAAGCTCTGTGAAACAAATGACTGTTGAACCACCTGTCCATAATTGCTCCATTAACAGCTTCTTCCAAGAGAACAATAATTTCCAGTATGACTGACATGTACAAATGAGGCCAGAGCCCACAGAAGGGCTGGAGCCAAGCACGGGGTGAAAGGAGAAGCAGTGACTACTTCACCCTCTGGGAGCCTGTATCTGGTGAATGCTCTCACCTGCCTGCTGACACCAGTGGCCCCAGGCTCCCTCCACCTCTTATGTACTGGCCTCAGATGATCACCAGGGAGAACTCTGACTTCACCAGTCTTCACCACCACTTGCACATTGGCTTCTCCACACTAGAAAGTGGCTATTGCTACTTTTTAAATTGCTGCCAATCTCAATAAGGAAAAAACCTTACAGCATCTGAAGATCCACGGCAGACAAGAAAAAATTTGTGCTTTTTTTCTGTTTGTTTTTAAAATGCGTCCTGTACACAAAATCATTTCTATTCATGTACCAACATGAATCACTTCATTCTTGTAGTGACTATTAAGTCATTCACTATTGCTGTCTTGCTAATGTTTGTGGAATTAATATGAATACACAGTATTTCAGTTATAATTCCCACTTCAGATTAGTCCGGTCCCTATAACCCCAGTAAATATTTACTGACAAACATAACAGACTACCAGCAACACCGCAGAATTCCAGGGTATTAAAAGCGCCTTCCACTACCGATGTGCATTTCCCCCTTCACCTGGGAGCAACCTTCTGCAAACAGAAACAGTCCAACTCTCCCCAGGGAGGGAAGGACAGTGTCCTCACCCAGTACATCCATCTTTAGCATGGACACCACATTCACACACATTTAACTCCTTCATTTATTTGTCACGATTTTGTTTAACATCCCCCACCACGTCTAAGCAGGAACGTCCCTGCCAGAGGGGGGGTCAGTTCTCCTGCCTCACCTGCAGTGGTACAGGGCCAAAACAAATCAAATTCTGAAAACTTCTGTTTGAGCTTGAGTTTCTTTCCAACATGGTCTGCCTTGCCTCTGTACAAATAATTTACAGGTAATACCACATACCAGAGAACTCTGCAAACAGCTCACATCACAAGATATTCTACTAGAGGTAAACGATGTGCAGAACTTTATGAGTTGTTTTTTCCCTGACTGGGTAACTTGTCAAAAAGCTACCAACCATTTGAAAACCAGGATTGGAGGACAGGAAAACAAAGCAGTCTAGTGGAGATACCGCCACCTTCATCCTAGTTTGCAAAGTGTACAAAAGGGAAAGACAAACGGAAGGGAAAAGACGACAGGGAGGAAAGCAATGAGAGGAGAAGTAGTCAGCGTGGATCCAGCAAGTACCGTTTTGTTTTGATCTAACAACTTGCCATTAGGACAAGATGCTCCACATTTACACACACACTTATCGGAGGACGTTTAGTTAACAGGATAAAAATCCTCTAAAAAAAGCTCTTGAAAGTACCAAAACATAATTTTTGGAATGTCTAATTCTAGGGGGTTTTGTATTTGTATTCAATTCAACCTGAGAACTTTTTTCCCCGTTTACGAAAACATTACATATTGGTAAGGTACCTGGCATTAACCTGCACCCTCATTTAAAATAAAACTTTTAAAGTAGGTACATACACCATTCACAGTCTGTATCGGGAACTCTACAGACTTCAGATGCTGCAGTAGCATCTTTGATAAATACATTGTATCATATGATACAAAGAAAAAATAAAAGAGAGGACAATATCGCTACATTTTTTTTTTAAAACTTCAGTTTGTTGCTGGACCAACAAAAGAAGGATCTACTTAATCCTTCTAAAAGATGTTGTATATGCACACACCAAGAAAATACGGGAAAAGGAAAAAGGTCGTTGTTTGTTCTTTTTAAGAAGTGGTAAAGTAAATCTGAAAAAAGGTGCAGCAGCATCCCCTTTTCCTTCAGCTGAACCTCTTCGCCTTCAGAATAACATCTTCTCCAGTTCCCAATGCCCCACACTTTTAATTTTAAAAGAATAAAACCCAATAATATAGACAGATTGAGGTGTTTGACACTGCAATACAGAGAAAAGGGGATACTGCATTGTCCATAAATCAGTAAGTACACCAGGAAAAAAAAAGGATCAGAATGGAGAACGGTTCTTTTAAATTAGCACTCATCAGATTTTCAGCCTCTGATGGTTACACTGTTAGAGGGAGAAAGCCGACCGGCAGACCATCCAAAGCAAGTCTCCTAAGTTGCAGCAGCAGTTCCATCCCCTCATGCCCGAGCACCACAGTCAAACCACGAGCGCCCTCTCCTCTCTCCTGGGAATGATGCCAACAGCACAGGCAGCCACTGCGGGTCTCCGAATGCACGTGGTGGTTTGTGTTGAAGGAGAAACACTGGCAGCAGAGGACTCTGGTTCCCAAAAAGGTACTTTTTCCCATTGTGTTGGACTGGCAGTTCCATTCTGCTCCACTTTTAAGCTTATGGATATCTTTTCTAAATTATTTTAGGTTTTGCGGAGCAGAATGGAGTTTTGATGTTAAGAAACTGTAGGAACACAAGACTTAAATAACAGAGTGGGTGCTGCCATGGTGCTGTGGCTACTTGAACGCTGCAAATTCTCCTGTAGAGGGAGGACAAGAGCTTGGTTTAAAAAGGTGATTTCAGTTACTAGGCAGTCAGAGATTTTCTCTAGACTAGCTGAACATCAGGTTGAATACAAAAGATGTTAAAAAATGCAGACTGTTAAAATTAAAGCACAAGAGAATACATAGTGAGAGAACATTGAATACAGACCCAGCATATTTAACCAACATAGAATTTCTTGAAAGCAAGCTGTACCCATTCTTCCCAAGAACTGTGAGAGTTCAAGCAAAGTCTAAATCATCATGCATTTGAAAAAAAAAATGTGTCAGCTTGATTTTACTTTAAACTCCTTATTGCACATATATCCTCCTGAGAAGCAACAATTTCCATAAATGCGTCTGACTGCAAACTAGTTTCTGTTCTGGTGTAAAATTGGTTTAATAACAAAGAACTGTTTGACACACCCATTAACCTTCAAAGACTATATACAGTAAAGTGCCTGAATATAAAACCAGTATTAAAGAATGCTACAATCTGCTTTAGAGACCAACATAGCAACCTACTGAGAGAAAAACAAGAATGGGGAGACTATCTGCTCAATCCCAGACCAGAAATTAGGCCTCACTAACAGAGAGCACAACAAATAAAGCAACCACATGCTTCCTTCAGAATTACTGAATAAAAAATAATTAAATGCAGTGCTTTCACATGTGATGACCTCCTGAAATTCTACATAATTTATTCAGTGTCACCATACCGTGAGATAGACTGGTAGTCCCATTTCTGAAAGGAACTACGGCACAGAGTAAAATCGCTGCCCAAAGTCTTTAAGGAGTTTCCCAGAAGATTGAATAGAAGCTGTATCTAACATACTAACCCTCTCAATCCTATGATTTAGCAAAAAGAACTTCCTGCCACCCACAAAGAAATTGTATTCTATAGGATTTTTAGTGAGGGGTGTCCAACTACGCATAATCAAAAGGACTCAGGAGGAAGAGAAAAAGGAGCAGACCTGTAATTTTCCTGTGTTGGGTTTTATATGAATTTTGGGTTAGTTTATGTCACTTTCTTGACAGCACTTCTCAGAGCTTTTCTAATAAGGAAGGAGTGATAAGTAGGCATAAGAGACCCTTTGTTCTGTTCAACAGAAGAGTGCTGAATGCCACTACATCCAAACAACTGCTCCCTATCTTGGTGTTCTTCTATCTTTTCAAGAGCAACCGTGTTGTTGGCTTTGTTTTGTCTTAAGATTCTTATTCTGAATATTGGAAACGAAACAGAAACATCCCTGTAAACAAAATTTTAGGCTTATCATGGAATGTCTTGTTCTATAAAGAAGAGAACCAAAAGAGTCATCAGCAGTCTGCATGAGGAGGGGGAAGAAAAGACATCTAAAAGGCCTGGGAGGAGCAGCTGATCCAGTTCTAAGGAACTTGAAGAAAGCAGGAAGAGCGCTCTGTGTGTCCCAAGAAATGAGAATGGAGTACACCCAAGGTCTAAAGTAAAGGGGCTGGCACAGGAGGCAGTGACAGACCTGAAGCTCTATGTGTCTTTATAGACTGTGGTGGCAGGTTTAAGTTACAACAACAAAGGAATAAAAGCTTCACGATGGACCTAATTTCCTATTTTACAAGTTCCACCAACAGATAAAACTCTTGCTCTAAAATACTCTAAGTATTTGATCCTTTTTTCTTGCTGCTTTCTGCTACATTTCACTGATCTCTCGACTCTCTTCACAGTATCTTCTAGAAACATCTCAAGTTTTGTATATTTTTTCTTTTTAGAGAAGGACAAAAAAGTCATCAAGTATTGCCTGTGAGGCCAATTTTTAAGAATGACATTCATGCCTAGCTACACCTTCAAAACATGCTCTACTTAATTTATTTTTCATTCTGCCTTTCTAAATTGCTGATTAAAGATCAATTTATAAACAAGAGATGGCTCCCTCATTACTCATCTTGTCCTTCTGCCCATTTCCAGTAATAATTCAGATTTTAATAGTCATATAGGGATTTCAGAAGATAAAAGATGAACCTTCAATTGGAAAAGAGCAATGGAAAAACAGGATCAGAAGACAAGAAGTATTTCAGACAGTATGGTAGCTTCAAAAAGGTAGTTTTCAGACTTTGCTGCCATTTAAATAAAACCTTAGCAAACACATTTTCTTTGACAAGCTAAAGCTAAATCTTGCCTTTCAAAATTCTGGTGTTAATCTGATCTCAAATCAATAGCAGACCAAAAAAAGGTAACATGTTCATCTAATAACAGGATTACGTTGATTGAACATGTATAAAATGCGGATGCCAGCAGCAGCTTTCCCTAGATGAGGAATGTAGATGGCTATACCTATCCACATACGGGAATCCTTCATCTAGGTGTCAATAGGACCTTTTGAGGAGTAGCTGAAGTACTCTATGTCACCCTTTCTATTCTGAAGATGTAAAATATCTGTAGCTGGTTCTTTTAGCTTCCAGAAGAAACCCCACCTGAAAAAAGGGGGAGAGAACCCAGGTGAACTCTTCCTGAGGCTAAGATGCATACAGATAAATGAAGTAACATGAAATGTGAATTCATCATTTTCTAGCAGGCCAGGAAGGTCTTGCCTGAGAGCAATGAAGACAGCTTTAGGAACACAACCCAGTGTGCCCTGTCCTGATTCTGCCCTGCTAAGTCTTTGGACACAGTCCTGCAATGGGCAATGCTAATCCAAACTGGGATTATTGAGGTCCCAGTCTATCTCTTGACCTGGGCTGTAGAGCAGTGACCTGCCCATTGTGCCACAGCAGCACTGTGTGTCCTTAAAGCAAGATGGTTCAAGGAGCTGATGTAGGAAATGCTACCTCAGGCTGGTGGGCAAGGAGAGTTTTCTAACCAGTTTTTGGAGAGCTGCTTTGTTCATGGTGGGGAAAACCCCCACAAATGCACGGAACAGACTCATGGAATTGGAGAGCATCTGCCAGTGCAAGGGTAAGGAGGTAGGCCATGCCTGATCCAAATGAGATCAGTTTACCATGGAGCTATGAAACCACATACTTAGCCATTTGTTATGTGAAAAAACCTCCAGACATTTATATTCACTGTGAGCCAGACACGTGAGGTGCTTCTGAGCAAGCAGAACTTCAGATACTTGCTTTGACTGGTAACAAAGAAATTCCTTTCCAAAGGATGGATAGCATCTGAAAACACACACTTCTTACAAAGCCCTTTCAAGTTAGCTGCTACAGTCCTTTCACGCTTGTATTATGCAGAGCGAGCACAAACTATTTTAAATGCACACTTTCAAAAACTCTGTACTAAAAAGATGATCAAGATCTTTCATGTTGCCTCCAAACAATGTAATACAAGGGCATGTTTTGAGTGAACCTGCTGCCCCTGATTCCTGGAGGGATTCAAGATGCAGCTACCATTCTCTACTCTCACAAATTTCTAAGTTACCTGGATTCACGAGGTTACTCAGGTATATACACAACACTGTAACTGTCCTCCTTATGCTGGGGTAGATGCCATGTTTCCCTGAAGAATCATAAGGAGAATAATGGTTCCCTTTCAGGCCTGTGCCAGCCTTATCTACTGAAGTAGAGAGTAACTGACTTATCAAAGAGAAACACCAGATTCCAGCACCTTGCCTGGATTACATTCACAGACACAGGAAAACTATGACAAAGAGGTAATTTTCTGTTGGATTTTGTGCTGATCTTTTGTATGGATACCATCCATGGGGTTAAATAAAAATCTGGAACATCTTCTAGAAGGTAACAAGACAGATTTTGTTTCTATACCGAGATGTAGGAAAGTAAATTAAAAAAGAAGCTCACCTGCTATAAACTACTCCTCCAGAAAAACCTGAGATCCTACGACCTGTTTTCTGGACCAATAGGTATCTGTTTCTGAACAACATAGCTGAGTTGCACCTTTGAGAACTCTGACCCAAATCCACAGATGTAGTTATCATCTTCATCCTACAGATGTTCCCAAATCTCACTGAAGCAGCAATTACAAATTACAGAATGCTCTAAATGCCTTTATGTCAGATAAAGTTAATGATCCACAAAACCCAGCCTCCTTTTAGGCTTCATAAAATGTTTAGTGAGAAGCTAAGATCACGTTATGGCCATGGACCTCAAACGGTGCTCGACGTGTAGGAACAGGTGAGACTGGAAGAATGCACTGACCATGCAGAGGAAATGGGGCCAAGTGTGTCTAAGGATGGCAGCATTTTCCTCCCATAAGCAGCATTTTCTGTAGTTCCTAGAGCACAGACGAACAATCTTAACAACACGGAGGATAACACTACTCCAAGGAGTAACTTGTTTGAACTGATATGGCAGATCTGAAAAAGAGTAAGCCTGGGCAGGGCAGTGATGATGGTTCTGCACTCTCTGCAACTCCCCATGTAGTCAAGACTTTTCTGTGTGGAATGCCACATTTCTAGATTCTGCAGGAGACCCAGTAGCATCCTCTTGCTCTGAGATGGAAATTGTAGCCTGTACTGAATACCCCAAAGCTTAGGAAGCATTCCTCCTCATTGTCTAGAATAAATATATAAAATAAAGAATGAGAGAGGAAAACACTTAAGTCCTGTTTTCATTTTAAGATAAGCCTGCCAAAATGAGGTAAAGCTACCAGAGAGATGGGAAACAGATTTTCTAAAACAGTAACAACTTTCATCCTATATAACTATTTCCATAGAGGGAGATTTCAACAGTTAAATTTTCTTGACTAAGAAAATGAGAACAGCAGAAGCCAAAAAGCCTATTAGAATCCAGCCACGAAATGTAGAAACTGCCTATATCTCTTCCAGTTCTCTACATCTGCTTCCCATTTTAAAAGGCTCAGTTGTCAGACATCAGAAAGCCAAGCTTTTTGGAATTCCTGATCTATTTCAAAAACTTAATGGTAGCAACTTCTCCATGTGTATGTAAATCAGAAGCCACTAGGAACACTCTTGGCCCCTGAAGTCCTAACAAGAGCAGCAATAGCTTATTCTGATGCAAGAATCTGTGAAAATTAACAGCTTAGCTGTTTAAACCAAGTAAAACCATGTAACTCACCTCAAAATACGCAAGAACACTGTCAGTACATCTTGTTTTCATATCTGACATCAAAGACTGATACAACCTGAACCACTCCTCTGATTTACCTACTCCAGAGGAATGCTCCAGAGAAAAACACAAAGTGAGCTGGCAGGATTTTGGTAAGGTGTCTAGCTTTCTCAGTCAGATATCTAGTCTAGCTGACTCCCTCCTAGTCAATCTAGCAGCTTCTATATGGAAGTGAAAAAATCAATTGGTCATGTTCAGTGGTATTCTTAACAATATTAAAATAATTAAAACCTTTCATCTTAACAGAATTCATGGTATGACACCGATTTCCATGAAAACAACTGCTTTTTCAAATCTTCTTTTCCTATTATGGGTGTTAAGCAGCATTTTTTTAAAAGTATTTGGTCATGCTTGAGGTTTAAAATGTTTTTCTAAATTTTGAAATCCATGCTAATCGAAGGATACAGGCACCATTACCAGTAATAGTCTTGCAGTTTGGCAAAAGCAGATTCAGAATTTCTTCTGTGTTGCATTGTAATAGAACATTTTGATATGGTCTAAACTATAGCAGGTCAGAGTATTTAGGGAGGAAAAAAAAATTAAAAAATAACAACCCACGTCACCACTCTTCTGCAGGAAGAGATGTTCTCTAAACAGGACTATTTTAAATTTCGACTTTCAAAATAAGAGCCACACGTAATTCAGGGCTTTCTCTGGATTCTGTGTTGTATCTGCTCACTTCTGCTGACCACAAGAAGTTTTGACCGTGTTCAGCCTTGAAGCTCGGTTTATTTTTCCAGTTGTTTCCCACATATGAACAGCATTACTAAATGAAGAATCTAAAGCTTATTGCTCAAATATAATGACCTCAACTGAAGTAAAAAAAATAAAACCAAAACAACACACCACCATAGCTTGTGTAATTAAAATCAAATACACTCCTGAGTAACTAATTCCAATCAATAAACTAGGCAAAACTGACACCCCATGACCTCAAGAAGACCTTGCTTGTTTTGAAGTGACTTTTCCCATGTCTCTTACGGGACGTTCCAATTCCTCTCGTGCCAGCTGTTCCCAGGGCACTCGTTACCAACACAGACTTTGTGCTCGGGACATTCAATGCCCAGTGTTGGGAAGTGAATCTTCGTTCCCTCAGTAAACCCTAAAAACACAGCTGGTACACGAGCTGCACTCACAGGAACACCCCAGCACACAGACACACAGGCACATGCTTTCACATTTCTTTTCAGTGCACTGGAAACCCACCGTATCCCCCTGCTTGGATGGGCGTTTTTGGAGAAGCACAAGCATATAGACTAAAATCCTCTGTCTGGAAGCCAGCCCGGTTTAATGAGGGCTCAGATGCACTGCGGTGAATTTTTGGCAATGACCGGGCCAGAAGCTCAATGGAGGCAAGAATCTAAAACAGGTAGAAAATAAACGATCAAACCTGTTGTTCCAAAGCTGAAACTCTTTCTTAAAACCAAAGGCACAACATTAATTAACTACAGAAAAATGTTTAAATTAAAACAGAATTTTTAAAATATTGATTACTGCATTGCATGCTTGATGTTTGTATCCTGCAAAAGCTGGAAAGGACAGTTTGGGAATTTCCCCCTTTATAAAGGCATACTAATTTCCCTCTGTAAGCACAGTGTATACAGTTGCTTTTTATTTGGCTCCTTGTCCAAGCACTAGTACCTGTAGCTGCCATAGCTGCAAACAAACCCAGCTTTGGCAGCAGTTTGCTCAATACCATTTACCAAAAAGTCAGCAGGGGGAGCTCCTTATTTTTTGAAAATTATTTGGTTACATTCAAAGCAGAAAAAAAATCAGATTCCCTCTCCCCTCCTCCAAGCTTTTAGAACCCAAACCTTCCTCAGCAGGCATGATAAAAATCAAGTTTTGTGGCAGTTTCCCTCCATAAAGCTTGGAGGAGAGCAAGAAGGGGGGCTATAAAGATTTCTGAGCACATATATGAAGTTCTAATTTGTGTCTAACTATAATTATCAATTTCACTGTCTCCCAGTTGAAACTTTCTCCAACGTATAAATGCTTTTCCAAATACACAGGTCATTTTACTACCTGTGTTTTGAAATTAAAATAAGCATTTCTAATTAAACAGCTCTAACCAGGTACTGAGCCAATGCTCTTATGAAGTCATGCTGTAACACTAATAAAAAAAATTTGGAACCGGCCAGTGAGTTCGCAACTTTGAATTCTAAAGTCTATTGAGAGTTAAAGAGGGGCATCTCTCACCTGTGGAAAAAGGGGTCTCTCATCTCTCTTCTTTTTTAAGCATTCTGCCATTAGTCTCTTCATAGCTTTTGGACAGTTGCTCCGTACTTTGCTGAGGTCTGGAGATAGATATCCTCGTCCCACCATAAAAATTATCTTTATTAAAAGGGAAAAAAAGATGAAAGAGGAAGATGATGAGTCCATAAAACAAACAGTAAAAAAAGGTGAACATTTTGCAAGAACATTTTAGTTCCAGCAGAAAGTTTTCTGCTCCCAGGAAACATTATCTGGTATTGAAATTGCCAGATTTCTTAGAGCAATGCTTGCTAACCTATTCAGTACAGAGAAAAAAATTAGATCTTTCCTCCTCCTCCTCCTTGGAGAGATTTCTGTGAAACTTGAACACTAGTAAATGGTTACCATTTATAGCAATAACCATCTAAGGAACGGTTCTTCAGTGTCAAAAACCGTGACAAAAACAAGAATAAGCAACTTTGGCAGGAACAGAATGTCTAAAAATAAATATTCTGTAAAAGGAAATATTCTGTTTTATAAATCAACAGCAAGTTCACGCGGAAAGGTATTTTAAGAAATACATGGACTTTGGATATTAAAACCCTTCAGCTTTTAAGAATAAATTCTGCCATATACTTTTCCAACACAAAAGCTCATTCTTGACATCTGATCACACTCCCCATCCCCAAGAAAACCATAAAAGAAAAAGAGGTACTGTCTCTCCTCTGTAGAAGAGGAGACAGACAGGTTTTGTATTTTTACAGTAATTCTTTGTACATGGAAGGCTTATATTTCGCCTAAGGATAAAACTTAAGCATAAACCAAAGTAAACTGATAGGAAGCAGGAAAACAAAACATAAATATGGTTAATGGTCTCTTGTATACATAAAAAAACCACATCAAACATCATCATGTCAAGCCAAAGTCAAATGCAGTGTGGTTTGAGTACTGCAGTTGCACTGACACTAAAAAGCCCTTCCAAACTAGTTAATCAAAGATCCATTCATGCTGCAGCAGGTAATCACTGCCTTTTCTGAACACTCAGGCAGACCCAGCAGGTGTGTCATACCTTCTATCTAATGAAGTGTAACTATTTCATATCTTGACACTGGGGAAAGAAAACCATCAGAAACCCCTCACATCTCAAGCATGTCATTCGTGTTATTTATACTAACACAGTCCTGGTCCTTTTTCAGCTTTCTGCTTCAGTCACATCTGTGTTGGCATCAAGGAGGAATATAAAACTCCCATATGGTTTCTTTAGAAATCCCCATGTGCCAGAGCAGCATTTCATAGTAGACTTATGTACCCTGCCCCTTACCTCTGCTGCAATGAGACTTACCATGATCTGTGTTAATATTTTCTAAATAATTGCACAAGCTGAAATTATTCAAAATTCATTATTTATGTTTCAAATACTCTCTTTACAAATAACATAGGGATTAAACTTTTACTTCGAACTAGAGAAAAGAGATTATCACTACAAGAACAGTCTAGAAAAATCTATTATGGTGAGAGGAACACTGAGGTGTAACAAGAATGATGCTTTGCTCACTAAGAATCTTAGTTGTGTCATAGTAGCTGAATATTTACAACTTTGGAGATAACAGACAAGGAGTGGCAAAACTCAAGACATTAGATCACATTGTATATGGTGGCTTCACTTGCATTTTAAAATTTGTTTCAGCACTTAATTGTAAGCACCTACATCACTGGGTTCATCTTTCAAATCTCAAAAGGTAAAGACAAGACAATGTTAAATACAGTTTTTAGAAGGCTGGATCCATCTGGCCAGGAATCCAGACATCTCCCTTCTTTCAAAAGGCAAAAACAAAATTATAAAAAAAAAAAAAAATTAAAAAGAAGGAGTCACTCCAAATTTGATGAATTGGGATGATATGTTCTGGCAGATATGGAAGCAGCCTTATAAAATGGCATTCACAGATGAACGTTGCTATGGTTGCAGTTCTCAAGTACTGACAGTGAAAAAACAAGAGATGAGGACACAGAAGCAACATAAATACATCACTGCTTAGACACAGAATAGTTCACACCAAAGATCTTGATGCACAGATACTATTTTCAGATTAGACAGAAATAATGAATCAGGTATGCCTTCCCAAAGCACCTAACCCATGGAGATATATTACAGGCATGTGGTATCATTAAGACTTAAAGAATATTTGTTCACAATTAAGTAATCTTCTTAGAGGATTCACACACTCTGGAAAGTCATATACTCCATCAAGCAGGGTTTGAGAAACGCTGATTTCCTGAAATTCAGTTAGACGGTGCTTGCATTTCTCAAGATCGAAATGAATACAAAACATTCAGTGAGATGACTGTTCTGTTTTGTCCTGTAGCTGCACTATTATTCCATGCAAGTGGAGGGGTGGGGAGGGGAGGAAATAAAGAGGAATAACGGAACACATATATAGAGGATCATTTCGCCTTTGCAGAACTACTCTAGATTACTATTAAGTAACCTGCTCTCTCCCTAATAAGTATCCTGGCAACCAGTTCAGAAGCTGAGAATCTATACTTAAAGTAAAAAAGAACACAAAAAATACCTCAAGAGAAGTAAGTAAATTGGTGCTATGTGGCTGAGGCAGATCTAGAAAACGCAGAAATGTCATCTCACAACATCAGAATTGGAAATATCAATCACACAACACACCAGAAAGTGCACTACCCAAGGTTGAATTGATCTCTGTTTCAGGCCACAGCTGACTGAAGTCAATCCCTTCCCTTACCTGGTCCCTGTTGTTGATGTTTGAGTATGGTAACTGTCCAGTCATCAATTCATAAAGAACAATCCCAAATGCATACACATCCGACTGAAAGCTATATGGGTTTTTATCTTGCATCCTAATAACTTCCGGTGCCTGTATCATAAAAGGGAAGAATTAGTTTTCATTTCTCTACATCACACTGCACCTCACATACCAAGAACAAAACATGGACTTTTCCAGAGTACAAGTGCAAGGTCCACTCTTCACAGGTTACTGGGTGCTAATACAGAGTGGGTGCTGACATGAATCTCATAACCCATTGCTTCATTTTAGTTTGGTGATCTCTTTATTCCTCTATGACAGAACAAAATTACCTTGGCCAGGCTGAGAAGACATTTGGAAACTAGGATTATAACAACACTGAGAATAATGCCAACTAACAGAGCTTTAGGTTTTTCCAGGGAGAAAAGGAGAAACTGGAGTTGTACAGGAGTTGTACTGTGGAATAACCATGTTTGAATTCTTAAAACTTAAGAGCATCTTACTTTCAGCTGAGCTAGTTCCTCTACTCCTTTGCAGGATGTTTTGCATGGCTTTTCTCACCTTCTCCTCAACACTGGATTAATTATACCCTTTTTCCTTAGCCACCATTTTCTTTTCAGTTTAAACCTCAGAGTAAAGGATTAAGACACTAGAGTTTTTTTGCTGACTACTGGAAAACATATGCTTAAAGTACAGTTGAAAAGTATTCATTTAGTACTTCATACTACTGCTTGTCTTTTCCAGCTTAAGACAGCTTGTGTATATCAGTGTGCTGGAGGAGTAGTGTAGAAATTTTGGCCAAAGGCAAATAAATTTGTTGAAACAAACTCACCACTTCCCCTTTACATACCATCCATAGAATAGATCCAGACAACTGTTCAAACTGTTGGGACCCGCTCCATCGTGATTTCACTGTAGCTAGACCAAAATCACCTATTTTTACTGTGAGGTCTTCATGAAGAAATATATCTAAGGGGGAAATGTTAAGGGAAAACAGACAAGCAATGCTGGTCCTGTCCTACAAGAACAAAAAACAGCTACAAATTTGCAACATACACATGACAGTTTTTACCACTGACCATCACTGAAGAAGGTTTTTGTGAAACACAGATTCTAAGCAGCCAGCATAAGGAATTATGCTACTTAAGGGTTACATAAGTAATGGCTGGGCCAGTGCTGAACAGACCACGGCCAGGTGGCTTTCTTGAAGTGCCAAGTACTTTCTTGAAATGCCAAGTATGAGGAAAGCTGCAAATATTTCGTGAGTGAACTGGCACAATCTTTCATTACATGTAGAAACCAAAGGATGCAAAAAAACCCCCAAAACCTCCTATGTTATTGCAATGAAATCAACAGACACCATAGGCATCCCTTATTTTGCTGTTACTGCTATTACCCCTTTTATTATTGATAATACCCCTATTACTCAGTGAAATTTCTACTTGGCAAATATTTATACCTGAACAGCTTTTCATACCATTAAGTTAATCTCTGGCAGAAAAAAAAAAAAGAACCAGGAATGCTGTCACATTCCAGAATTACATCTCTGGGAAAGGATACTATTACTCTTGAGGTCTCTGTGGATGATTGACTTGGCATGCAAATAACTGAAAAGGAATATCATAGATTAGGTGGGTTAAATAATATTTCACTAATCAGCAACTCAAAATTCACTGTATTACTGAAACACAAATTCTGTAGATATTCAAACTGCAAGGTAGTAAAACTTCAGTTACCAATGACAGTTTCTGCAACATTCACAGGAAAAACAAGCCAAAAGCATAATAAAGCTTAGATTTCCAGCTAAAATCTGATGGTGCTGAGGAATGAAATAACAATTATGCTCCAACTTCTGCTTTTCAACTCTAACTCAATATTCACAATAGAAACAACTTCAGTAGTTTTTTTCACATTCAGTGCTGAAAGTTCTGCCTCCCAGCCTTAATGGTGACCGTCAAGACCCTTTGCAGGCTAGTCACAGCTTTAGGTAAGGTGTTTCTAAATGTGCTTCCCAGTGTCAGTGTGCACTCAGGTATGCCGACTGCTTTTAAGCACAAGAGTGGAAAAAAGATCCCTTGCAGACTGGATAAATAGATGGCAGGGAACACAGAGGAGAGTACTTGCCCCACAGCACAGATACAGCCTAAATTAGGCAACCAGTCTCCCATGGCTCTTTGTTTAGTCAATGAGGCTGGCACGAAACTCCTGGAAAAGCCCCAATTTATGTCTCTGCTTTGAATCATGCTCATAAAACAGTTTCTGCATCTCCACTACCTACAGATGGGGCCTGGGGAGATGAGCAGGCTAACAGAAGGCTAAGGCTGGTTGCTGCAAACACCTCCCCACCTCTTGACTGAAAATGTAATAGAATACTTAGTAGAAAAATGGCACAATGAACTGCAATCATCATAGTGGTTTTTCAACTGGAGGGTGATTTCTCTGATCTTACAGCAGTGCTCTGATTTTGACACAAAACACTGGGCTAGTTTTGTAAATTCTAACTCAACAGTCCTCTATGGGAGTAAAGATTATTTACAATCCTTAGAACCAAATAGGTATGTTTTCTCCAAATACTGAAATCTGTTATTTAAAGAGCTATGATACTTAAAAAAAAAAGAAAAAAAAAAACCTGATTCTTTTTGCTACCAGGGCTGGGTTGTCTGTCTTGTGCATATCTTATGGAATTCTGTCCTTTCATTCACAGGTTGTTTCTTTTTAAACTATGCTCTACCTCCTACCATATGATTATCTGCATTATAAAGTTTGTAAAGACTCTTCTATTTAAGACTGTATTTTCCTATGTTCCGAAAAAAGCACACGAAGTCTATTTTACTCATCAGAATAATAAACACTTCACCAAATGCTTTGATGATTGAGACAGGACCCTGGGCTCGGCAAAGTGAGCAGATAACCAGCCTTATTTGCCAATGTCAGCCACAGTGGAAAGGGGATAAGAAAACTTTGCCCCAGAGCTCGTTTTCAGACAAGTAATACGATACTTACTCCATGCCTTGTGCAGTCTGTCGTGCAATATCAATTAGCTTGATCATTTCAAATTTGGTCTCAATGATGTGTAGATGGTGATACAAGCTGGACCCTTCACACCATTGTGTAACAATAGCCAACTGGGGTTTTGTTGAATAGCCCATGAAAAGCAGGATATTCACATGTCGTGTTTTCCTGTTTAAAAACAAACAAAAATGAATAGGAAATCAGGCAAACCCCAGGCAGGTCTGTCACAGTTGACATATATATTTCCAAACAGAAGTTGAGTCAATCTCAAGTTTTACTAAAGTAACACGGTAATCTCTTGCTAAATTCAGTTTCATGAATTATTCCAGACATTAGCCTTTCTGATCATAATAACATGGAATAACTACTCTGAGGTAAGCACGGCTTCCCCCAGGCAAGTACCTTAGCACAGGACTGCTCAGAAGATACTGTTTCCACTAGGTCCCCATGGACAGAAATGGTTTGCAGGCAGGTCTGCTTTTTTGTGATCTTAGTCCAGCTACGATATGTTGCTGCCCATAAGGAAGACATCCAAAATGAAGTTCCAGTCTCAGAGGCTTCCAGAAAGGACAACTTTTTTGTTTGTATACCATCAACAGTTTTACTTAGGGCTTTTTTTGACAAGAATTTGTATTCTCTATGAAGCCAGCATAAAAGAAAGGATGGAAACAGGTATGAAAACTGTTCCTCAGCAAGGTTATGATATGAATTTGTTTCCAAACAGCACTTTGGAGAAACTAGAGTTCACCACAGAGATTTGACCAGATTAAATCAAACCTATTCCAAAGATGGAGCAACTCCATACAGAAAAATTTCCTCATGAACAACGCAAAAAGAATTATCTCAGTAGATATCCTAGTAGATTCAAGGTCTGAAAGAATCCACTGTGAAATCTGAAATGTTCTCCTCACCCTCCAGGACAAGTCAATCATGTTCTTACTGCCATCAAATAGACAGGAAGAACTACATACCTCCAAACATACCAACGAGATTTTACAAAGATGAGGCCCTAAGAATTATGGAGTATTTCCTAGCTTTCCCAGGGGCTGAGGAAAAATAAAGGCAATCTTCTTCCAACACAGGTTGGTATACTGGAAGGCAGTCAGCTCTCTGCTGGTGAAACCTGACAGATCAAGTTTAAAACCTGTGGTAGCTTGTTAAGTCTTTGCTGTGGTGGAAGATGGCAGACTCTTATTATGTTTTCTTATGTTAAAACACTAACATGGGAGCCCAGAGTGTGAACCTTTGTCCTCGCAGAACAGCAGACCAGGACAGTTCTACGCTGTGTGACTGTGCCTTTTTCAGGTTCATGGATTTGTTGAGTGCTGCTGAGAGTAACTGCTGAGGGAACAAAAAATATGCAGTTTCTTGCAAATCTGGCAAAAAAATCCTTGCAAAAAATGATGAAGCATAATGGAAAAGGCACAACAACGGGTAAATCTGCCTTGTCTGGGTCAAAGGATAGAACAACTGACTACAGAAATGCTGAAACCATCAACAACCAAAAAGGCTGGACTCCAGCTATGGGACTGCTGGCACAAATCTGGACTAGCTATGAAATATAAGATTTTTCATTTCATGAAGTTCTGTCAAAATTATGTAAAAATAAAAGAGATATCCAAAGCAAAAATCTGGACTAGCTATGAAAAACAAGATTTTTGATTTCACGAAGTTCTGTCAAAATTATGTCAAAAAAATGAAGAGATATCCAAAGTACCATAGCACAGAAATGCCTCTACTTCCACAGCTAAGAGCTTAGAGTTTTTGGAACTAACATTTTCCTTGGGAAAAAGGTTGACCATCATGTAACTTACTGGGGATGTTTCTGTAGCACAGGCACCCAGCTCAACACATCAGGTTTCCAGAGGCAAAAACCTTCATGCTATTTTGGTTTTAAAACAAATTAGGCTCGACAATGCTCAAGATTGTACTTGGATGCAATGTTCTTTCCCAATAAATATTCTATCATACTATGTTGATGGATCCTCTTTTAAGAGCAAAACCCAAAACAAATACCTCCTCTGAGAAACCACAAGCAGTAGACACGAGAAAAGGAAATCAAGAAGTGATTTTATGAGAAATACAATTAAAAAAAACCTCAAAGAGAAATTAATGCTACTGAACAGAAACTATTAAACAACAGATAACGTGGGCAGTGCTGCAGCTGAAAACCAACAATTGGTGTGCTCTCCTTCAATCTCAAAATGTGAATGTGTGGAAAGAAAGGCCTACAGCTCACACTTAGGCTTCACTGTGTCCTGGGGGCAGTATCATAGCAAAAACCAGTCCTGTCTTGAGTGTTTTGACATACACATATTGACAACACAGGTGTGCAGACAAACACATACAGGGGAGGGAAGAACTAGCAGTGGATACAAAGAAATAGTTATTTTTTCTGCCTGAGGTATCATCACGGAGGAGTAAGACCAACGTGTTCTAATGGAAATCTAAAATTCAGTGTTTAATGAGGCACAAATTTACACATGTTATTTTATGCCATTAAAAATAATCTTACCTGAGCACTCCTACTTCATTTTTGAAAGCCTGTAACTGCTGAGGTGTGGGTGCCGTAACATTCAACATCTTCACTGCCACATCACCTTTAAAACAGCAATTTTTAGTATAAGTGCCACTGATACATATTCCTCTACTGAGAAAATGCTATATAGAGCATGAAAAATACTGAGGTACCCTGTTTTCTAGCTTTCATGAAATAAATCACTACAATATTAAAATAAATAAATACTCAGTGAAATGTAAAACCACTGTTCTTACTTCACTCTGAGGAATCCTACCCAAGCCAAAGCTATTAAAATACACATTTGAAATCCTCATTCGTCAAGATGGATACTTTGACCTAATAACTGTGTTTCATCTTTACTCTTATAATGCCTTAATTCAGAATAACATGCAAGAGTTGAGTCTCTAAACAATATGAAGTCCTTACACTACTTACTAATTTCCAAATCATATTTACTGCCCTTCAGTGGACTCTCCCTATCACGTTCCAGCTGGGTGACCCCTGGCAGGCAGCATGACTTGTTGAAGGATAACTGTTTGCCATGATGGCCACATACCATGCCACTTTCCTTTGTAGACTGTTCCAAATGATCCAGATCCTATTCTTTGTCCAACTGTGATCTGTCCATCTGGTATCTCCCAATCGTCACTTGAATCCCGTCGACCAAGAGTTTTCTTTATATATATGTGCAAAAACAATAAAGAGTAAAACAAACAAACAAACAAACAAACAAACAAAAAAGGGCATTAATGTCTGTAAAAGCAGCTCCTTTGTTAAAGATTTGGTATCAGCATTTCATATCATTAAAGTCCTAAAAAACCTTTTCTTTTCAGGTATTGTTTTTGACTTTTCAAATCAGCCATAAACAAAACCTCAGGACACAGCTATACCAAATTATTTCCTGGCATGAAATATTTGCCACAGCTTTCTGGCAGCGTTAAAACCAGAAAATATTAAGAAACTCTTACCAAAAAGAAAGTCATATTTATTTTTCAATTCTTATTCAATCACAATGTCAAATGGTGAATTTAAAAAATGCAGATAGTTTTATGCATTGTTACATAAAAATTTGTTACATAAATTTGTTACTTTCAAAGTTTATGAATCATGGTCAGAAAAGTTAAGCCATTATGTGAAGGGAAACTGGCATTACAATATGAAGCACACCAAACATTTGGGTGCAAGGGAGTAAAAGTGAATCTAGTCAATTATTTAAGTGATTTATATCTCAGTCTCACAACTACTTAATGGTTCAAAGTGGTTTAAAAGTGGTTCTCTCACTCCATTATTTACTGGTTTAAAGTCCTTGACCATTGCCATAGTCATCTTCAAAATAATTCAGATGGCTTGGATGAAAGAAAAGTGAGAGGAACACGATTGCGTAGTATTTCTATACTACGAATATCCCACACTACAAATAAAAATAGCTGATCTTTTCCTTACCATTCTATTTCTGTCTTCTGAGGATGAGGAGGATTTCCTTTCCCGCTGGGGTCCTGGTGATTTCTGTAACGCTTTCACATTGGTTAGTGACCCAGGCAAAGAGGCGGGAGGTGTTGCAGACAAACCTGTGGTTGAGCCTAAATTTCAGAAACAGGATAATTTTATCTATAAGAATCCAGCTTACAAGAATGCACTGATATTAGCTGCAAGAACTGTGTTTAAGATGCAGTATCTCCAAACATCAATGCAAATGTTAAGAGGGAACAAACATATCCTAGGAATATTGTCCTAACACTAGATTAGCACTCGAGTCTCAGATCTCAGGAAGAGACAAGTCTATAGCAAACATCCCTGTATAGATAGTCCCCAGTCTCTTGTTCATGAATTATCAGAAGGACAGTGTCTTTTTAAGTAAGAAAAAAATATTTTAAAATGTATTTTTTTAATTCCATCGGTTCCTTTGAGTAGAAAAGTAGTAGCATTTTAGTTAGCAGCATCTACCTCAGAGATTTCTTGTACCTAAGCTTTTAGAAACCCAACAAATAGCTGAAATACTGTACTTTGGAATCAAGACAGATTAAATGCAAATAATTGAAATGTTTTCTAGTTGAGTCTCCAAGTGCCACCTGAAAACCATTTGGCTGTTTTAAAGCTATCTGTTAGCAGAGAACTCTTATTTAAAAATAAATATTAGAGTGTAGAAAGAATTAAAAAAGAACAAGTACTTTAGTTAGCTATTTGAAGCATATTCTATGAAACACAAAAAGAACAGTATGTCTGTAGCCTGTATGTTATCTAAACAAATCTGTGCAGGAAAATGTCACTAAGAGAGCTGTTTCAGAGCCCCAATGGCCCTTTACAAATAGAGCACTTCAGTTAGACACTGCTTTTTAAAATACACCACAATTATTCGTAACAAGGTTATGCTGACCCTTCCAATGCAAAGGACATGAAATAGGGTCAACTGTTAATTAAATTCATGCTGCTCTGCTAAACAATGTATGTCATTGTACAAGACCTCTAACATTACAATGCTTTCTCTCACATTAGTGCTCTGGAAAGCGGTGGAAGACAATACTCCTCTTCATATTCTTTCAGCAACCCCCTTCTTAACCAAGGAGTGCCTCCTAATACCAACTTGAGTTCAAAAACTGACTTTGTGGCTTTTAAAACTGTTGCTCAAATTCAGTCATTCAGTGCATGGTAAATTATCAGACTAAACACCACTGTCCTCACTGAGCTAAAATCTATAAATTTAGAAGTGGAAGTACAAAATAATGACATACAAACACATCCAAAATGGGACACAGCATCTGTAAACTCTGTCCCACATGCTAAAGTAACAATAACGATGCATATTGGGCATCCTAACTACAATTATAATCAGCTGGAAGTCCATCCTAACAAGACCTGAAGGAAGGACTTATGTTTATGTTACAGCCACTATACTGTCATAAATTTATTATATAATTCATCATACATACATGGAATTAAATGTATGATGTTTCCAGAACATAAGCAATTTTCAAAAAGTTTACTGGGTTACAGAGTTTCTCTGCAACAGCAAAGCTCTACCAGAATGAGTTTTCTTTTGAGGTAACTAAAGTCTCCTACTTGATTTTAATACCACAGTATAGAAACACTAGCACAATATTCACCCTTCACCAAAAATGCTTACAGCACATGGCAGAACATTGTAGTTAATCTGTTCATAATAATACCAGATGGCCTGTTTTCCAAGTTATTAGAGTAGAATACTTCAGATAATGTTGGACTTAAGTCAATAGCTTGGACTCTGAAGCTGTACGTAACGTATTCCATTCTGTAGCCAGTTTGCTGGTTGGGAACACCTGTCTTCTTACAAAGACTCCTGGAAGAACTTTACAAGTTCATAAGGTGAACTGCTCTTGAGATATTCTGAAACAAAAGTCTTTGAAACAGCCAAGATGGTAGCATTTGAAACCCACACTACATGCACTGAACTGACCATTTCTACACGTATACGTATAGACACAAGAATTTACATTTCATGCTGTTACTCAGTAGTTGGTTTCTCCAGCATATAAAATCCCACAGAGTTTTTTTGGGATTTTGTGCAATACAACAGATCCATTGACAGCTTAAGGCCTGAATAACCCCCAGGGTCAATGATATGAAAATCTGTGTTTTTTACATAGTACAGGACACAAATACTGTTTCAGTGGAAATCTGCTAACTAAATAAAAACTACATGGTCTAAACCATCTAGGACCCCAATGTGATGTCAACAGCACACTCTCAAAATGAAGTATTTGTCAAAAGTTGACATAACACGTTTCTTGAAAACCTTGTGACCTAACAAGATATCAATGGAAATGTTTGTAATTCACATTTAATTTCCTAGATTACTTCTCAAAACAAAGAATACCAAATATAGAAAACTGTTATAGCACTGAACTGACTTAAACTGAACAGTCAAGGAAATTCTAAGTTAAGGACATAATTTTATCTTTAAAATCACTGCAGTGCAATCCAAGGACCTTTGGTTAGAAAAATTATGCCAAGGTCCACAGAAAAACCTCAACTATGAAATTCCTTGCTTTTGAAGATTTAAGTCAGATTTTATTTATAGTCATTTTCAAGCGTGTAAAGGTGAAAGTGAGTATGTGTGAAAAGCACATTCAAAGCATTCCAGCCAGGCCAAGCAAAAAACAGAGGTGTTTTGATAAACTCACACACTTACATACACACGGTGTGAGGGTGAGGCACAAACAGCATCTGTGGTTTTACTTATTTTGTTTGGGTGAAAACAAGAAAGAAGAGCCCAACTACCTCTGAACACTGGGCCAGGCTCAAAATCAAACACTATTTCACTGGGGACAGAATGAAGGAGGGGACTGGGAGTCCGGGATTGGTATTTCCGAAGACAGCGCATCAGCTGGTTCAAAGGGGCTGTTAGAGAGAAAGAGACGGGCAGGCAGAGACAGAAAGACAGACACACAGAAGAAATGAAAGAAGTCATGGGAAATAACTAGGATGCTTTGACTCCTATTCATAGATTGCTTCTGAACTTTGAAGGAAAAAAAAAAAAGTCAATTACTAATAACACTGTTTCAGGACCGGGAATAGCCAATTGTTTTCAGATGCCAAACAGACAGTTTATGATCAAAAGTTAAAACCAACATGATTGCACAACATTTAAATGCTGGACAAAATGGGCAAAACTGTGGAGAGCCACACCTATCAACACATACAAAAATACCTAAAACTGGTAACTTTCAATTAGTAAGCTTGCAGGTTTAAAGGAAATTTCTTTTTCAAAAGTGTTCTATTGCTGGCATAATTAAAGACAGCTCCATCAAACACAATGCAGTAGGCAGGTAGCATTCTACCAAATACCAGATTTGCATGGGACAAAGAAAGTCAGTGACAGCCCACAGAACAAAATCTTAGAGATCAGGAAAGAGTGCACTAAGGTAATTCAGACCTAACTTATGGCTGAAGCAAGTTCTAATTAGTAGGAGACAACTGTGTTACTGATTTAGAGTTGGAAAAACTGTCATATGCCTGCCCTACTTACTACTTCTTTATTTCCAATAGTTCTATTTTATTATTATATTCATAGGAATATAATACAGGACATAAGAAGCCCTACCTGGACTTCAGAAGCCAGTGGGAGAAGTGACTTAACAGGCCTGTGCTCAACATGTGAAGAAAAATAAACTTTCTGGTACTAGTTCTGACTTAACTGTGAATTAGGGCTGTGCATTACTGAAGGAAACACAAAAAACCCTGGCTTTAGTGAAAGGTCCTAACAACCTGCTTCCAAGAGTAGCACAGGCATGCAGTACAGCAAAGCAGCAACTTCAGCAGGGCAGAGGGGGAGAAGAACTGGAGTATTTCACACTGCTTTAGGATGCAGCAGTTCACATGGATGGCCCGTCTACCATGTCGATGGTTTTCAATAATAAAAACCCCCACTGTTTCCATGGGTGAAAATGTAACAACAGGTGTAAAAATCTCTGAGAGACACTTGGGAAGTTATAGTGTATCTGTGTGCAGCCATGTGAGTGAATGTGTGTGTGTGTGTGTGTGTGTGTGTGAGAGAGAGAGAAAGAGAGAGAGAACAAAGAAGTGAGAGTGCAAATTAATTTTAAAACTAAAAAACTAGGTACTACTTCAAAACTTTTTCTCCTTCCATCTCCCCCGCTCCCAGAATGACCAGCAAATGACTCCAATCTTTGTGAGACAAATACTAAGTTCATGGACAAGCAAATGTAAATTCACTTTTTGTTCTAGTCATATTTTCCTTTGTGCCTGTGTTTTGTAGAAGGAAGTAGGGTAAGGGGAAGGGACAGAGTGGTTGTGTAATTAAGTGTAACACAGTAGTTAGTTTAAATGCTACTTACCTCCCTCTCCTCGTAAACCCTGGTCTCTAATCAATTCCTATAAAAAAATAAAAAAAATCTGTATTTAATTTAGGTATTAACATTTAGATTCTGGAATCAATTGATATTGATCAATTTGAGAATCCATAATGTCATGTGCTGTCCATGAAATAAAAGTGGTTTCCTATTCTGATTTAATAATAGCAGCGACTCCAAAGAACTACTTATAACAACTACTAAACTTCTCAAAATCAGTTGCTCTAAAACAGCATCTCTCAGTAGTAAAGTGAAATGTACACTACCCAAAATAGATGTCGACATGAAAATATTGGTTTAAAAATAGAGGTGGCCAAAATGTGTGAAGAAATATTGAACTAAATGTTCTAGTTACACTGTTTGTGGCACAAATGATTTGAAGTGCCACATTAGAAGCTGGGACATCAATTTCCTGTACTGAGGTACATCAGTCAGATGAGTCCTGCTTCACTTTTTCTTAAAACAACACACCTGATTTGCATAGCCAGGCGCACTCTGTTCTTCTCAGAAATGACTAACTGCAAAAGGTTTCCTTTGCTTGCAATACACTGTGAACTGAGAGTATCTTTTGCAACTAAAAGCAAACTATGCTAAGGATTTTCTAAACAGAAGAAAAGCAGAAAATTCTAACAGTTTCCATCTGCATTCCAACAGTTTTCATCACGGAGCTTTTTTTTTTTTTTTTGTTACACAATTATCTTTGTTCCCTTTTTTGTTACACAATTATATTTGTTCCCTCATACACCTACGCTGCTGCTGAAGGCACTGGCTATGCCTCAGCTGCACCAGTGCCATATATCACATGTAAATGTCTACACAGCCACACTCTTAAAACTAACACTTCACCTTTCCATCAGCTCACATGCAAAACAGATTTTGTGCCTCAGTGTCCAGGCAGACTTCAAGACTATCCATCTGACAAATAAATAATTTCTAGAGAGCAGACTTAAGGGTAAAATACAAGCTGTGTATTTTAGCAAAATTAGAAAGTGGTTGTCGTGATCAACATTTTGAAAGGTTTTAACTGTCCTTACACTAATATCAACCACTATTATTAGTTACATTTCACCATTCAGAAATTTCAAAACCGTGGAAAACGAGTTAAGTGTAGCTGTTTCTGAACACTCTAAAAGAATGCTCAGAACATATACTGGGTTCTTGAAATCCTAAGGTACTATTGGTATATCTGAACTCAGCTTAACTTAATAATTCAATTTTCTTCAATGCCAAAAATGTTACTTGGAATACAAATACTAAAAACCTCTATCTTGCATAAAAATGGTTTGCAAGAGTGGTTACTGGCTACAGCTAGCAGCAAGAACCTTGAGACTAATAACACAAAAAAAAAGCAGTGGTTTGGGGCAAAATGTTTATTCGAAAATGAAAAGGACAGGACTGTCAAGAGGCAGTTCTCCTTTTGGAGAATGGGTTATTTGTGTTCTTACAGCTCTCAACAGCAAAAATGAATCTATGAAAAAATGAAAAATGAATGGTCCTTGAAGACTCTGATAGACCACTGAGGATTAGCTTAGAAACACAGCACTTGTGTGCACATGATAAACCTAATGCACTGATATTCAAAATGAACACATCGAATCTACTATTCTTGATCTAATTGTTATTAATACTTACATCAATATTGACTGGCTCAATTGTATTGATGTGGACATTGGGAGCTGAAGAGGATCGGTCGCGTTGCCCAAACTGATTCCGATGGTCTTCATCTGCTGGTCGGAGGGGCTGTGGGATTGGAATGGATTTTGAAGGAGAAGGACTAGGGAGAATTGGTGGTCTGAGAAACAAAGTCAAGGAAAAAGAGGATTTAGGTCTACAAATGGCTTCAAACACTGCATAGTGGGTGTGGTAAGTCCTTTTCAACTATAATAATACATACATAAAACTGATCTAAAGGCCTGAATAAAAACAATTCATAATGAACAATCTCTACTCTCCTATGATCAATTGCAACAACTCTCTGCTGCATAAACTACCTAATTACATGGCTGTGAAGAGTTCTGAGTTAAAACAAAACAAAAAACTCTACCATGCCATACCAAACTAGTTACAATAAATCCTGATCTGAAAAATTCATGTAGCCCAACATGCACTGCAGATAGAAAGATACTCTGCAGTTTCCTCTGAGTCAATGCAATACACTCTTTAAAATGGTAACCCATCAAGAACCAAAAATGCTTAACATCTCACATCAATTTTACAGTCAGAAAATGTCACAAAACAAATTGTATGGATAGGATAATTGATCAGCAAATATAGAGTGAAAATTACATATGGTCATTGAACCTAAAGGATTAATAATATGGCCAATTATTATTGATACTAAAAATAACATGGCCAATGTTGATGAAATAAAAATCAACATATCACCTTTTAATCTCAATCTGTAAGTAATAACTTTGAATAGGCAACATTTCAAATGTTATTTACAGTGCTACAGTTAGGCAATGCAATAGGTTTGACTTGAATGATAAGCATTCAGATTACACAGACAAGATTCTTGAAGAAATTTAAACACTGGCAGTCATAAATGTAGATTAAGTCTTCAATTTATTGTATAATGAAGTGAATATCTAAAAGACAAAGCATCTCTTGGTTTTTTGTTTGTAAAAAGGCAGAAAGTCACTTCTTCGGTTATCCGTTAATTTTGTTGAAGTACAATAAATTGGCAATTATCTCTTACTCTAGTCAAGGTCAGTCCCTGTTAAGTCTAATGATTCAATCTAATGGATGTAAGGCAAAAGGTCAATGAAAACATTTGCCAGCTTTGTCAAAGAAAATTTTATGTTAAAGTATATATGGTATCTGACAACAAGGGTTTTAGGAGCGAGGGTTTTTCTTGCCAAGTTCTAAGAGAGGAGTGGAGTCCTCCACCCATTCAGTGACTCATGGATTAATTACTATGCCCACAAAGGCAATGCCCACAGGGAGAAGCTTCAGAAATAAAACATAGAGCACATATAGCAGCAATAGGTCCTGGAGCCACCTCCTATAAGTAAACACTCCTTGGTCTCTCCAAAGGTATTTAGAGGCAACTAACATTTTCACCAGGATCTCTTGGCATTTTTTAAGAATCAGGTCTGCTTTAAACACTACTATCCTACCTTTCACTGAAGAGTTTATGTAGTTTGGCATTGGTCCCAGAACTCAGTGCTATCTGTATCCTAAGGACTTGTCATCTTTTCCTTCCTGGCCGACAATCTCACAAAATTGAGATTGGCAAAACAAAGCTCTTGTGAATTAATGCAAGCAACAGTCTAGTAAGTCTTGTAGTAAAATACATATGTTTGGGAAGTGTGGCAGGGAAGAAGAGGTAGGGGGTTTAGCCACGCTAATTTTTAAAAAATCAGTTACTTATTGTCGCATGACAGAATATAAATACTGGGAATGCACTTGGTTGACATTTTAAGGTACTCTATTTTCATGTTAAGGCAAATGTGTCAGATGTTGCACAAAAAAATACAAGAAGTGTAAAAAGTGTGTCAGCCAGGTCAGTACTGGCATTGTTTGGATAGCTAATTCCTGCTAAACTTCCTGAAAGTTCTCTGGTAATAAGGAAATTAAGGGAGATGTGTAAGAACATCCCTCAGATCACTGCAGTAGGAGTGAGCGTGAGACACTGTCTGAGCTCTGCCACATGACGAGGACAGAAGCAACCAGATTTTCTGTGATCATCAGTAAGATAACAGAGAGGAAAACAGATTGAAAAAGTATTGTTTCAATTACATCCTCCTTTGAGTCATAAATGGTCATCTGCTGCTTCTGTATTTCTGGGCACAGGTCACCACGTCCATCGTGTTGCTAGCACAGATAGCGGGCTATGTCACAGATATTTGAAAACAATTTTAATAGCTTTTTCCACTCATTAAATTCTAACTGAGGGAAGTCCAGATCTTTAGTAAATAATTACAGGCTGATAAAGAATTCCCCTTTTTTTTTTCTTTGAGTCTCTGAACTATTATTGTGAGGGTCTCTGGGCTTCCGACACCAAGAATCCAGAGATGGGAACCTCATAAGCACTTAGCCATGTGCTCCATCAGAATTTTATTATTGGGTGTCCTTGGGACACTTATAAAAAGGTAGGTTATTTTTTGCTAAATGGGAATTTTGCTTGAAAAAGGGAACTAATGAAGAGAAAGACACAAGTGGTTTGCTGGCCAAGATGGCCTACTGAGATCACAGGCTCAGAGGATATTACCACCAGCTTCTGCCTCTGTGTGGCAAAAGCTATATCTTGATCTGCATTGAGATCTTGATCTATCAAAGCACATCACCCCAAAGAATGCGGCAATCCTCTGAGCTACCAAAAGCCTGTTTGTACAGTATTCCCACATTTTAATTGCTCTAGAAGAGCAGAAGGGACACTGGAGCTACAAGGACAAGACATCATCGTTTGGGAAAGGGTGACATTGTCTATTCCAGGCCAGTCCCAAAACTTGTTCTGTAGGCTACGAAACCACATTGGTAAAAAAAAAATAAAATAAAAAAAAATCAAGAGGACCAGAACAACTCCTACAAAGAACTGTTTACTGTGACATACATGTACAGCAGGCTGAGGCTTAAAGGAGCCTCAATCGGAATACCAGGATCTGAGTTTCTGTTGCTCCTGTGGACTCTGTGAGCTGTTTACAGCCACCCTGCTAAAGGAGACCTTCTACAAATAAGATCAATATTGGAGTGGTTATACTACCTCATCTTGACCACTTTCTCCCAGACTCAGACATGGGCATTCCTTCAGCAATGATTCTCAGCTTCTGAGACAACAGGGTGATAATTGCCAAATCTCAATTTAATGTTATAACCTTTCCTGACAATATGACCAAACTTCTACCTTGGACCATGTATCTGGGGTAAGTACATTGTTCCCTCCCTTTTTATCAAGACAGAGCAGAAAGAGGTTTTGTCAGGAGACAAGAATAACTGAATATAAGATGTAAAATTTTTATACCCTTTAGCAAGCACAGCAAACGCCAATGTGTCCACAGATTTACTATTCCACAAAACTGGATCCCCAGGAAAGAGTAAGGTAACTCAGAGAAGTGTCCACGCGTGGTACGTTAGACATGAACAAGCAATTTTATAAAATCATATACAGTACCTCCACCAGATTTAGAAATTGTAATGATATGTTAGTTCACTTTACAAATACAAAAGAAGATTTTTATACAGATTTTCTGCAATCTCCTTTAACTCATCCATGTGATGTTTCATAAATGTTTAAGAGCTGGTCTACTCAGGAAAGATTTTTCTTAAAATATGTTTGTTTGGGCTTCAAATTTTTTTCCCCGTACTTTTATTTTGCTGCAGTTGGGCAAAGGCTTAAACTGAAAATTCAGTCACCTAGCTCCAATTATGAGGTGTGTGCCAGTTCCTTTTTGAATGGACTGAGATTTTCCCTGTTCCCCTTCTAGCCTGAACAAGTACATCTCAGTTTAGCCACAGGGCTCAGTGCTGTATGCACTGTTCACCTGTAGGTTGCACAGTCATACCTAGGCCAAATCTAAAATGTGTTTTAAGGCACTTTTTTTGATTAATTTTGCTTACACCAGAGTATGACTGGATTTTTGTTACTGCTGTTTATGAAGAACACAGTGCACTTCCATTTTCAGGAAGGTTCTAAGGACTGCTAAGGATCCGTGATACAATGATATTTCAGCTAGTGATTCAATTATCATAGTACTCCACAGATATTGCCAGAAAACATATTTTTTTTCCCAACTCTGCAGCCTGGAAATATTCAATAACCTCAAATGAAATGGTGATTTGGAGAAAAGGACAGCAGTATCCATTTGTAACTACAAGGTGAAGATCACTCTTGCAGCATCCTTTGAAGTCAGTCTAGAAGTAACATGAGAGAGTTCTGTAACAAGTCATTACCTCATAAAAATCAGTGCAGTTTTCTATACCATGGTAACTTGTTTTCATCCGTGTTGGCTTGCAGGTGAAAAAGAACTGCCAGAATTATCACAACGGTGTGCATTTATTTATACTGGCCCTCGGGCCCAGATCAGAGCTGACAAGCCTAACATTTCCCAAAGCTTCATACACCAGGGGCTATCAAGAGAATCACACTGCTGCCATTAGTCCTCCAAACCAGGTTTCAGCTCACTAGCGTGTTTTTCTAATAAAGTTTTGGAGAGTAAGAGGTTTTCCTCTCCTGTTGTACAGGCTAGAAGCAATTTTTCTAAAGATTCTGGTACCAGACCTTTTCTGCTCAGCAAGAATGCGTATCAAGTTGTATTTTGTAGGAATTTTGGGAACATTTACATGGAAAGGCCTGGAAAAGATTCTGCCAGCATTTTTAGGGGAAAATTTGTTTTATGAAATAATACACAAAGCTTTTGCTCACTTAAGCACCATGGGATCTAAATGCCATTGTAGTACTAAATACAATATTTTAAGACTGTGTCTTTGCTTCCTTGGCTTTTCAGAAGCTTTTCTAGACATTTAAATATCTTTGGCTGAGGCAGAATGATCAGTGAACATTTGGAAGACAGAAAGGAAAGCAGGGGTGTTTAATCACAGGCTGGAGCCTGCTCAAAGGCAGGGACTGGAAAGCTTCCAAGAACGGTGCATCAGACATTCCCTCTTTCTTCCTCCAACTTAGAAGATGAAGCATATTGGGAAATGTTGTTTTTCAAAGAGCCAAGATGTTGCCAACTGGCCTACCAGCCGTGTTCTGCCTGGAGCAATGCAGACATTTTTGGCTTTTACCAAATGCAACCTGCCCCTGTGCTATTCCAAGTCTGACCACATGCCCTCTTACACCCACTCCACAGGTTACTTACCCTGCCATAACACCTGCCTCATGTGTGTGCTGAGTTTTGTCCAACATCACAACATCTAAGAGAACAGATCAGAGTTGAAAAAGACAAGTTTGGAATATTCTGAATGGCTAATCTCTCCCTTATGCAGGTATTTGAGATGGAGGGAACTGGGTTCAAAGAAATTCTGTGCTTGTATTTTACGAGCAAAGATACAGAAGAAACTTTATGACAGTGCAATGAACAAAACAAATACAATGTATCATATACAGTTTGCTTACTTCAATTTTATTACAAATGGCTCTTATTAGGGAGACCTACACTTCTTGTATTTCTTTCCAGTTAAGTGCAGATTATAACTGAAATGGCTGCTTTAGCACAAGAGGAGAGTGCAAACGGAAAGAACTAAAATGGGACACAAGACCTAATGCGGAGGCTGGATACACAATGTTCAGAGATGTGCAAGTGGGACCACATGTGCTCCCTCATCTTTGGGTGGAACACCTGGAGGGACTGCCTAACGCTTTCAGTCGGAAGAATGAAAGGCTACAGGACTGGATTGCTTTAGGATGTTACACATGACCAAAGTGAAACAGTTCTCCCGCATGTTTAGCAGCTTTTGCATCATGTCCAATGGTCTTTTCCTTTATGTCCCTTTCTCTTTCAAACTTTTCCATTTGATCCCTTGACAATGTCTCAGCATGTCACACACGCCTTTGCTCTCGAGTTTGTCTTGCAACACAAACTTCCTTTCTTTGGGCACTCTGCCTGCCGCTGGAATCCCTTCACAAGGCTAGAGATGAAGAAGGATGTTTGCCTTCTCTTTCCTCAGGTTTACCAAACGATTAGTAACATCCCTTCCTCTGTGGGCTGAGCCATGCAAGATGCTAGGAGAACAGAGAAATCAAAGGAACAATTATTAATCTAGTAAGTGTTATTAAAGCGCTAGTTCCTCATATTTTACATCCCATTGCCCAACTCTCAAATTTCAATCCCTTATTCTCCTCCCAGACAAGATAATCTCAAATGGCAGCCCTTTTTTTTGTTCCACTTGAGCTGTTGTCCCATATTGCAGCAATACCCTTTAACAAAACCACAGGTAAGCATATGTTTTTATGGAAAAGGCCAGCTTTTTAAATTCAGACAAATTAATCTTTCCACAATTATGTTCTTAAAAAGCAGAGAAGTATTACTAAAGAAAGGCAAAAAGATACCTGGAAAAAGGTATGGACACTGCCATATGCTCATATAATAACATCTGAGCTAGTTCTGGAAAGGAAATACTGCACACACAGATGCTTGGAGAAAATCTCCTGACTAACATGCATATTACTTACAAACACCAGCTGATAATAATAAACCATTTTCAAAATGAACATAATTTTGCAGACATGATGTATGCTTTTTTTTTCTTGTTTAACAACGAAGTGTATGGCAAAGCAAGAAAGCAAAAAGGAGGAAGCCAGACACCTTTTACAGCTTCTGCAATTACAAACATTTACAGATGCAACATTTGGGAAAAGCGCCTTAAAACCAATTGGCAAGTATATTTAAAAGTTAACATTTTTATAGATGTCAGGTTAAAAACCTAAGGCATTAACCAGCTTTGGTCTCAGTTTTTCCTTTCCATTTTCACTTCACAAAACTGAGACTGATCCAAGTCTTATCAATTAAGATAATCCATACTGTTGTATCTTCATAAACTGGTAAGAATAGACTAATGTGAGGCAAAGACAATTAAAAAGCAGAAAAATTTAGAGTATTAGGATTAGGGCTATATGGTGCCTTTGGCATCTGCTGCTGTTTAAAACAGTTGGTATGAACAAGTTTCTTCATGGATTAATAGTTCTAGCCTGGTTATAATTTCGGCTGTACCATGAGAAAGGCAGAGCCTGCTGCACTTAAGAAAACCATAACAGCCTTGTCCACAATCTGCTGTACTAACATCCACAGGATATAAAGGCAACATCTACTACCTGGAAGAAGCACTTTTGAATTTACTTGAATCTACACATACAGTATAGTACAAATAAGAAGATAATTTCTGTACTTACCAAATGAGGTTCCCTCTGCAGGACTATCAATCTATTTTCCTGGGAGGCACCATATTTGATCTTCCATAAAATAGTCTTGGCTGTCCAGAGAATTTATCTTCTAGTTAAGAGTCCGTAAGCGCCCGCGTAGCTTCCAGTTTGTTTCTGCTTTAGTCTGGGCACAAATGGTCACTAATCCAGAGGAGCCTCTCTGCCAATGTCAGCCCAATTCCACGCAGCACACATGTCCTGGGGATAGTTTTCTGAAGGCTTTTGTATTTGGTGTTCTTAATATCTCTGCATCAGTTTTCTTGACTGTGATACACATCCCTGAGTTACTCTTCCCTGGAGATTTGTTCAACTACCTAGTGCTGGCTGGTGTCATTGATCTCCTCACTACTGGGAACATCATCTAAATATGGTCACTTATCTCTTCAAGGAAAAAGGGTCCAGAATCTTTGTTGGAAATACAGGGGGGATGGTCAGTTTTAGAGGTCTAATTCTGCAAAACCTGGAGCTGCAGCAAACAGATGCTATTGGTATATCCCAACATGAACAGGAGGAAGACAGCTGGTCTGGAGGATACTAAAGCAATGTGTATGTGGAAAAGCTACTAAAGCAGTATTATGGACCTGGACTTGGCCCCTGTTCACACCAACTTTACAGTGGTGTGGTTTACTCTGAAACTGAGGTATGTCACTTCAAGGCAAATAAACTGTAGTTTGATAACCAATTAATTAATTAATCTTAAGTATAAAATCTTTCCAGTTTAGACCAGGTCTAAGCCATCATGTAGAAGAAATCAGTTTAACAGGGAAGGTCTCAATTCTACAAACAGTTACATACATATTTAACTTTGGTTCATTACTAATTTATATAATTCCTGTGAATGAAAACATTCACTTCTTTTAAGGTAAGCATAGGTGGATATATTTGTATGACAAGCCAGATTACAAAAATATAAGAGTTGCAAAGCAGTATTTTGAGTGTTTCTAAGCATAGTACTGAAATGTTATGTTATTAAACAGCAGGAATAAGGTCATACCCAACAGAATCTGAGGGGGGCACTGAGGGGTACGATCCAGATGCTGGGGTGCTCTCTCCTAAGGAGGCCTCCTCCGGTGGTATGGGGTGATGTTCAAAGAACTTGGAGACAAACAGCAAACTGTGAGGCAAGAACAAAACAAAAACAACCTAACTTGTGCAAAACCCAGAAGCTTCACAATATAACACTCAAAGACTACAAGACACCCCCAAAAGCTCACTGATCAGAGTCTAAATTTTAAAATAAAGATTACATTTACACACTAAATCTGCAAGATTTGTTAAAAATATTATTTACTTTAGAGAGGATCAGAAGATCACGCCTTAAACATAACCTTTGTGGAAAGTAACTTTTTAATCTTTTAGTTGGATTGCAAACATCTGGTTCCTCAAGAATGCACAACCTATACCTATATTGAGTACATAAACTTATTTTAACATTTGCACTGATGTAATGCCAAAACCCAAACGTCAAATGGATACAACTACGTAATCCGTAAACCCTGAGCACAAACTCTAGAGATGTCTATGTAAACAGTTACAAACATAAAATGAAACTAAATTAATTCTTGGGGGAAAAAACAGCATTTTAAATTGTTCATTATATGAAAATTTATTTAGAAGACTTAATAGCCTCTTCTAAAACTGATGAAATAGAACACAGAGCCATTTTACAGCAGATCCTTAACCTATATCAAAGACTTACACAAATAGATCAGTAACTTGATTCAAGAACACGACTGTTTAGGACATTTTGTTTTATGTTTCTTACCTAGGCATTTATCTTGCTAACAGATTAGTTTTCAATCTCTGTAAAACCAACTGCAATTTCACTATATTCAACTGGTTGAAGAGAATAAACACAGAGCTGAAAATTTAAACAGAGGCCCTAGCCATCACATAATAAAGAACCAGTTTTGATTAATAACAACAACTGTGAACAATGAGAAGTCTGTCTGATATAGTCAAGTGCTCAGCAACCCTACTCATGCTTCAAAGAAAGCATTTCATAGTCCAGCAAAGAAATATGAACTGGTTGTCTGAGCTAGCACAGAAAGAATATGAATTAAGCAATTTCACAAGAACAGTGGAACCCCTATATTTTTTTTTTTCAGGCACTTTCTCTGACTTCCTCAATTCCAGATTTAATGTAAGAAACCACTGACAGCCGTACACTTATTAGAAGGCTCAACTTGAAAACCAATTGTGATTACTTACTCAAGTTGGTCATAATTAACACACATCAGTGGCACTTCTGTACTACAGCGCTGGTGAAATTTGTAGCCACACGTCTGGCACCGGAACCCCTGGAAAAGCAGCTTTCGACAGAAGTCGCAGAACGCTAACGTGAAGAATGTTTTTCGTACCTACGTTGTAAGACACAGTCACAATTACACAGAGTCCTTCTGTAAACCTGAGACAGGCTATCTGCTTTTGTCTCCCCCCTACAGTTTTATGTATCAGACAGATTTGCATAAAAGATTGTCTCTTTTTTGAAACAGTATTCATGCATTAAAGTTTTCTTTCGAGTGTTTATTAGAATTAATGCTTCACTTCATTAGCGATAAGAAAGATAGCAGCAAATCTGAAGCAAAACGTCACTATTATCGTGCTAGGGACAAACATTCAGAATTTAACTGGATACAACCTATAAAACCAAAAGCTGCTGAAGTATTATCTTCTAATTTTTCCAGGGGCCAAATAACATTTCTATCCAACACTCACAGGACTGGAAATACACATATGGTTTATATATAAGGCTTCAATGTATGGTTACACATATAGTTGTAATTTTGATTACTGAAACTCAAACATTTAGAATCACAAAAGGGTGATCATGTATGATCCCCAAATTACAGGGAGGAGAAATGATTTAGTTAATTTTCTATTTTAGCAATACTTGGCATAAAAACACATTCTAGTTCTATTACTACCTGTAATGATCCAAATTTCAGAAGGATACTAAAAAAATGTTAAGCCTACTACATTTTATCTAACTAGCCATAGCCAAACTAGATTGAGTAAAATATTTTAAGCAGTTTGTAGATAAAATTTTGGTATTTTTTTAATTGAAACAGAAGGTGTTTCTTCCCAATGTGACAAACATTATTTCCAGGATTTTGTATGTAGCTGGTACCATTTAGATGGATTTTGTTTAGCAGCTTCCATTTACTTGGTGCCTTATCAGGTCAAAACATATTTGTGCTCTAGCATCATTGATGATGTCAGCACTGCTCTGGGAATAGTTAGTTCATTAGTTAATTGCTGCTGCAGAGCCAGCAGGGAGGCCCAGAATACATTTTATAGATACAGCAATACTAAAATAGTAGATTGTTATTACAGCTCTGCAATGCAGTGCTGACTTAAACCCCCTACATTTATAGATTTTAGAGGGTGTATTCCATCCAAACCTTAAGAGTTTTAAGGGTGATCAAGTACTCTAACATCACTTACTTCAAATACAATTTTATCTAATTCACTTAAGCTACTGTGATTAAAAACCTTTTTTGCAACTCCCACCACATGCCACAGATAGAAAATATTCCAAGTTGCTGATCTGAATTTGAAAGTACAAAGTTAATGTAACCCTACTCAATGTCTCACAAAACGAACATACGAAATTGTGTGTCGTGAGTGGCACATTCTCCAAGACTTCCACATGCAGCTCCTCTCCCGTGAGCCAGGAAATGTCTGTGTCCCAGCCAATTGGCTTCTTCTCTCTAAAGTGCAAATAAGCCTCTCATTAGCATCGGAGCACAAGCCCTTGCACGTCTCTTGCCGAAGTTGCGAGATCAGCTAAAATGTTGCACTGTGGGGGTTTGCTACTCAGGCTCCAAATGCCGGAAACTTTAAAGGCAAGACATGAAGCTCAGCACACAGCAAATAAAGCACACCCTCTCTGGACAAATTGCATGAAGGAAATGCACTTTTTTCCAGTCAGCTCCAGTAGTAGCCAATTCCTTGGCTCCAAGGTGATGGATGCCTTTCTGATCAAATAAAGTGTTTGTGAAAGCACCTGTTGCTTAAGAGTTCCACAGACATGGCTGGTTGTGTGCAGTAAAATCATCTACAAACCTTTTAGGGCTGAAAACTCTTTTTTTTCCCCCAAGGGAATTCTTGTTTTTAGTTAAGAATGCATCATAACCAAGTGAAATAAAACCAAGAAGTTAACACAACCTATTTAATACTTGCTTGGCTAGCATGAGTTTGATTAATGACTGTTTTGCCAGCAGTCTATAAGCCCATATTTACTCAATATCATGCCTGAGCCTTTTTCTATGAGTTTGCCATTCTTTTCAACATGTCTTTGAAGTACAAATTGTTCTAGTGAAAAGTATCATACAGTTTTCAACTTTGAAAAACAACTTCCACAATGCTGGATAGAACTGACCATACTGGGTAGCTCCAGTAAGATTCTAAGAACAAAAGGCCATCCCATACAAACCATACCCATCTTGTATTCTGTAAACAGCACAGCATTCTGGAATAAGACCTCTCATCATCAGTGCTTTCTTTAGGCTGTCTCGGACCGTCACTCCACATCTTGCTGGAACCTAGAGGTCAAATAGGAAAGAAATGAATTAAAACAATTTCCAATTTATCTCCCTAAACTGATGCAAACATTTTGACCCTCAAGTGCTAAAACCCACTCATGATACGTTACAGAATGGTAGGTCAGAGTTTTTCAAAACCTTTTTTGTAGTGGGGAAAACTTTGGTGAATAGTATACGTGAAACAGAGCTCAGATAGAAGAGAGAACAAGCTCTACACTTCTACTAACATTTGGAATGAAATCTTCATTCAACTCTAGAAGTGACTTTCCAACTTTTCTCAACTGGAAGAAACTGGAGACCCAGCACACGCACAGCTAGTAACTACATACAGCTACAATTTTACAGCCTGGCCTGAACTTCAGTGGGGAAACATGCCAAGTGAAATTAAGTGAAGGAACTAACTTGGACCGCAGTCAAAAAAACATTACTATAAAATGTAAATATTTTATTTTCTATTTCTAAAACAGAAGATAAGCATGCAAACAAGTAAAACAAAACAGTCATCCGAGTCAGGCAGACCATTACCTCTCACTTTAACCTATATTTGCAACTCTACAATACTTCTTATATGAAAAACATATTCCTCTCTTCTGTTTCACTGTTTGAAAAGTTTAGATATCTAACAGGATGGGAAGAACGGAGGAGCACACTAAAAGTAGCCAAACAAAGAACTGCAAACTATGTAAAGTAAAGATATTTTCCTTGCCTCTATTCTAGCTGTAGGCATATCTTATATGAGTTAGTACATCATCCCTAGGTACACCTGTGGTGTAGGCATACAATTGTATACAATCTGGGTATATACCTATACAGTGTCAAGCCATAAAAAAAAACCCAATACATATTCAGTGGTTAAGTGTAGTTAAGGTGTTGAATATTATCTATTTACTATTTCTAGAACTCAACAGTGAAAATATGTAAGACTTCAGGTGCTGTACATACTGGGACATCTCCTATAATCATGAACAGAACTTCAAAAACAGATCAGAAGGAAAACTCACAAACTCAACAAACACAAGAAGCCTATCTGAACATCTGAAACTCAACTCTAGCTTGCTAGTGGCTTAAGTCAGAGCCCTCGGCAGACAAATGCAGTCCTTTAATCAGCTTCAACTGGCTTTGGATCAGAGCCTAGTTTTCGCTCCTTGCACTTAAACTTTCCATGGGTATTTAGGGGCTCTATGTCCTACTTAAGGATGACAGTGGAAAGTACCTTCGTGAACACCACTTGAGGTTATGCTATATATTGCATCTCTAGAACTCAAACATATGCTCTTTCAGAAGAGACAAAATAAAGCAATATTTTGCTTCGCCATCTTCCTCCCATTAACATGAAAGTGCTTCTTACAGGATATTTGTGCATTTCATCTGGTCAACACAAACATTTAAAAAATAGAATTTCTCTTAATTCCTTGAAATAAACATCCTATAGCACACTGCTTTACAAACTTGATACTCAGCCTTAAGTGACTTTGGTTTACACACTGCATTCCTGTTTAATGCATCTTTTTATTAATCTAAAGATTAAGAATCCCACAAGTTAGCATCACGTCTTTCAGTCACTTGTAGGTCATTCCTGCAGCATAAAACGTCCTTAGTCGTTACTAACACCCATCACTGATATTAAAAGGGAGCCTGGGAGCCCCTATTATCATTAATACGGTCAACAACATTCCATTGCAAAACTCAGCCCTCCGTTGCTTAGGTCTCTTCCAAAGTAATTGTTCACACCAAAACCAACTGTTCATAGGGTCGTTCTGTGACTGGTACTCCCTGCTCCCAACCTCTGGAAACATGGTCAGTATAACCAGCACCATTTTATGAGGCAAGCAGCCATTCCCTGTGACTGAGTGAGTCATGTGTTTGCTCTCTTTCCCCTCATTATCAACCCCTGAAGGACCTGTCAACCAAGGAGACAAAATGAAGAGATTTCTTCTTCCCCTCCCTACAGACTTCAAGGTTTCTGGGTGCCAGGCTGGCTGCTCCCTCCCTTGCCAGCCCTCAAGGTGCCAGGCACCCAAGGCCACCAGGTGGTGGCAACGGCCTGGCCACAGAACATGGGAGTCTCAGAGCTCCCAGGACACTGTCTATAAATCGAGCAGCCCCCAGTCCTAAGGGGGGAACTTGGACTGGAGATGCTGCTGGACAGTGAGATCTGGGACCTACCAGTGCCCAGGGATGTCCTCTCCTTCCTCCAAGGATTGAGGGAGTGACTCATACTCTTTTATATGAATGGCGAGTCTAGATTATGATTGTTAGACGGTCTGAAGAGCTAAATGAGGCAGAGGACAGGAAACAAAGATGTGATTAACTACCTTGTAGGAGAGAACTGGTTGCCAACAGTTGGAGAAATATTGGAAGCACATCCTGAACAGGAAGCTTTCATGCTGTGATTAGGAGAAAAGGTGGCTTGTTTTGGATAAGGAGCATCAGAGGGAAGGAAGTGCCTAGAAAAAGCCTTACAACCCAGCACAGATTGGGAAGAGGTTCTAGCTTAGGCAGAAAACTCCAAGGCAGTAAGTATAAAAAGAAACCAGGTTCGTAAAATCTTGACCTAGGTGAGGGAATGGAACAAGACAAGGAGGAAAAGCCAAGCAGAGGGAAGGTGACTAACATTAAACAAGCGATAAGGAGTCTTGGGCTCACTGGAAGACATTTTCTTCCTCCAGCGCTCCATAAATGATGACAACATCCTCCAGTAACTCATGAAGCAAAGATCTGCATCAGGAACCTAAAAGTTCCAATGCTGTTAATGAATCACACTGGTGTAAATAATGCCATTTCAGGTGATTTCTAATTTTTTTTCTTTTTCATTTTGCCAAAAATCAAGATCTATGAAGTTACAGGGTTTCTTTTAAGAGATCAATAAAGTCAGAAATGCAAACCCTCAAAACTTGGGAAGTATCAGAATGAAGGTTGCCTACAGCAATGTAAGTGCAATAGGATTATGAAAAATGTGCATTACACATCTTGCTCACTCATCATTTGCTATTTCTCAGTATTACTTCCCCAAGTCCCCTTCATTAAAATCCAAGCCATATTTCTGCAACTTCCAATTAGAGACATGGGTAGAACATTTGTTCTCTTCGCTGCCATTTGCGACAAGATCCAGCTAAAAACCAGAGAATTGTTTTGATTACTTTCAAAAATCACCACGATCCTGAATCAGCATCACATTTAGAAAATTCTCCTACAGAACTCCTGAGCAGAGAAACATAAGGCTAAATTAAAAGAACTTAGTGCTAGAATAAATCCTTGTGGTATTGATTAATCATTTTTCCAGACTGGTACAGCATGGTCTATCACCATCTGTGCATGTAGCCCTTCAGCCCCCTCCTTCAGTCCCTATCAGCACCTGCTGTAAAGCAGAAATACCACCCTACAAAGCACTCCCTCTGAAACTTCTTCCTGCCCCATCCCCTTTTTACCCCCAAACTATGGCAAAGTTAAAGAAAAACCCCGCTCCAAGAAAGTGATTTGGAGAGCAACTCAGAATTAAGAAAAGAAAAACCAAACAACCCAATTTTTTTCCCAGCTACCAGACTCTGAAGCAGGAATTTCGGAACAGCCTCTTGCTCACCCCCAGCCAGAGGGAGGGTGTGCAGCCCCACAGAGAGCTCAGAGAGCCGGAGCCCTGCAGTGCCCCACCCAGGGAGCCCCGGCTGCCTGCCAGGAGCCGGCACCTCCGGCACGGCAGGCAGGCACCACGGCGGGGTTATCGATGCCATCAAGACTTCTGTCAGGATTCCCACAGAGTTTCCCACAGAGCATTTGAACTGAATCACATCAGCACTTTTTGACAAAATCAGTTCCCCACGAGAATGTTTCTTATCTGCTCCAAAATACGCACTCTTATGACTGCAGTCCAGTAAACTGAACAAAGTTTGCATTTTATTGAAACACAGAGTGCTTAATTTTATTTCAAATCCATTTAGTGTCATCCCTTTTTATCTGTTTTATAACTAAGAGACTCTAAATACATTTCACAACAATTATCACCCAAAAAACTCACGTTACTGAACTAGGGGACGTACTTCCAAATTGTGATCGCTAAGGGCTTTCTTTTTAGGATACTTATACACCTAAGATTTGTAGATCAGAAAAGGTTTATAGCAACTTGAAAGTTGATTCAGAAACTTTCAAAAGTGAAGACTATGAAATACTGTGGGCTATACAATACTAAGGAATAGTAGAGAAGCTGCCAACAGAGACTGTGAGGTGTGTTCAGTGTGTAGCTTAATATACTGGAGAAAGTAATTTACTTGTGCCTCCTGAACTGGGCAAGTAGTGATTCAGGAAGACACCAAAACACATGCTCAACTTTGCAAATGTTAAGTCCAAAGGAAACAAATGAAAATTATTCCAGACTCAAAAAATTCTCAAAGCAGTCTTACTACCTAAACAGATTAAACAGAACTGTAGACCTTAATTTCCTCATTTCTTTTACTCATGTGAACTGTTTCTAAGGACAGTAAGTATTCATAACAACATTGTTGATATATATTTAGTACTGGAGCTACAAAAGCATTTAAGCAATGCATAATAAATCACTTATTTCTGTAAATCAGGTCATTCCTGATTCAGTAAGAAATTCAAGGCTATGTCCCTAAATAACTCTTACATCATTCTTCTAACATCAGAGTAGGAACTGGCATAGTCTCAGTAAGTTAAATATGCTTCCTTACACCAATGCAGTTTCCAATATTTTAGAGCAATAAAGAGACTAAAGAGGCTGAGAAACACTTCAAAAATCAATGTAAAGGTATTCTCTGAAAGTGGAGAGGTTGGTCAGCTGTGAGTATCTAGTACTATACTTCTCAAACCAGTTAGCTGGCTCTGTTTTTCCCCTCAGCCTTGCACTATAGTCCAGCTCACTTTAGCCAAGTGTTGTGTATGTAAGGTATGTGTAACATACCTTAGAGCTTCAGAGTAATTCTAAACAATTAAGCAGACTACTGGGTACAATAGTGGAAATATTCCAAGTAGCATGGATTTGAAAT